AGGGGTGGTGACCTTTTGAAAGCCCCTGGATATCATAGCCAAAGTGGGAGAATCTGGGGTTCACGGTTCTATATTGGTGGCGGTGGCATGGTGTATCGGTGCTCACATGGACGAAACTCTATGCCATTCTTCTGACCCCTGATGGGACACACCTTGCCTTTATTCATTCACTCCGTAGCCTTTGCATTCGTCCCCTGTGTAGAACCTATCTCTCGTCCAGCGTACTCCACATATTGTCAACTAGGAGAAAACAACATTTGCAGCTATATCCATCTCTCTGACATCTTGCACAAAATTAATCGTAGACTTTACAAATAGACCAAAGCTCGATACGAAGTATCCCCCCCCCCAAAACCTCACTTCTTCGATACCACGGAAAACCTCCCCTTCTGAGTTCCCAGTAATCCTACTACACACCCTATATGTACACACACAAAAAAGCCCATGAATACCATGGATGCGCTATAAAAGCTATATTATGATATCCACACTACACCCAGAGAGAGAGAAAGACTAGCTGGCTGAGGGGTGGGCAAAACAATCCATGTGGTAAAATCTGACTCGAGGTTGGCCTTGTGGGTTTTATGATTTATGACTACGTGGAGAGAGTGGTGATGTTGGTAGGTATCTTGGGTAGTGTATTAACATCTATGTATTAGTGATGCAGTGCTAAGGCTCTCTTATGGTAATTCTTGATTCTGATGATCGTGTGTTGTGGTGGTATGGAAGGAAGGGGGCCACATTCCAACTAAGTTTCTCTCATCTGATAGAACATTCCAGGAGAACTATCATTTGGGCTCTTAATCTCCTTGACGCTGGGTGCGTTCCACGATCTCACGGCGAAGCCCATTGCAGACACCAAGTAACTCAGCCAGCACGAACGAAAACACGCCACGCCTTATCTTCAACATTAATTAACCACGCATCTCAAAGCTTTCTCGTCTAATCCTGATGAAAAATCTAACCAGACCCACCTCGAATACACACGAACCATCACCTTCATCTCCCCCCAAAATTTAAAAGTTCAACCCACAGCCCAAGTCACACACGACTAATCGCAATCAATTCACGCAATCTACACCTTTCTATATCATTTTTGGTCATTCTTGTTCTAGAGCCCAGATTACCAAAAAAAGCTATCTTCAATTAATCAAAACAGAGATTAATCACCCGTCGAGACCACACTTCAGCATTCCTCCCCTCCAAACTCTACCAAGGGCATCTCATACACAACCTACTAACCATCTCATCTGCCCCAATTTTAGGGTCAGAGTGAAATGACCCTTCCAAGATGAAGTTATTAACCTATTCCCTCGCCTGTGTAATCTGGACTGGAGTGTGGATTTCGATCTTTTTTAGGTTTTTGAAATAAGACAAAGTCTCCTGAGGTTGACTTTTTTCTTCGACAGCATCTTCTAAGTAAGAAGTTATGGTGCTATGCTTAGTTGTCTTGGCAGTTATATGGCGCCCTGTTGGTGTAAGCATTTACTTTACTAGTGGATTAGCCTTCGATACTGCGTGCTCCCTCGTATATTCTCTGCAGATATGGCTCCGGGATTAAATACGAGTAATAAGATGTGGCTAGATATCTCAAAGGGGCTTTGGGTAGAAGAGGCGCTCTTTCAAGTCATTCGTTTACTTAATCCAATCACAAACCCAAGTCCAGGGAATGATCTGGATTTTCAGGCCTGCAATCCTAGTTGAGCTTTTCGTTCCAGTATCGAATATTCTTATGATGAAAGTGGTGAGCTTGGTAGTTTGTTCTCCCATACTAATCATCACACTAAACACCCTTGCCTTTTGTATCTGCTCTTTAAGCCTTTTTTTGTACTTAGCAAATGAAACTGCCATAAAGTTCCCAACTATGTCTCTCCCTCTCACTGGGGGTTTCTTCCATATCAGCATACAGAATATTCACTGTATTTCCATCTACCACCCAACTTTTCCTGCGTGGAATAACCTGCTAACAACCCATACCTTCCCTTTCTACACAAACGAAAGGGTTAGTAGGCAGCGTACTTCCAGCTCAGGATACCTACTAGCTTCAAATCTGGAGGAAATTTCATTAGCATGTGAGCATAATCAAACGCAGAGCTAATATTATAGAGTCACTGTCGTTGAGATGATCAGTCCAAGATATCATACCTACACAGCTGCAGTATTGCGCAGATTCCGAGAAGCTATGGGCTATCTTGTTCTACATAATTCCCCAAGTGTTTTGTTTCCAGAATTTTCCGGAAATTTGGGTACAGAGTAGGTATAGTCGAGGAAAGGGTCTGCACTACGCCCATTACGATAATTCGGAATAAATTAGGTCCGAATCAAGTGGGAGATATACCGTTGACTCTGAATGAAAAAGAGAGACTATGCATATTTGTATCATGAAAGGATGATGAAAAAGTTTTAACTATTTACAGCACGGCACTTGAGTGTTCGCAAATCGGTGGATTATCAAACAGGATAGATGATATTCTCTTCAACTGTCCCGACATGATATCCCGTTTCTACACAATTTGATAAGAATGAAAATACTTCATCAGTACGAAACTACTTTTCACTGCGATTTCTATGTATCGCTGCCTCGCTGTCAAGATGAGAGAGTAGTACGGTCATTGAGACGACATGATCCAGGGATCTATACTCCTGGTTCGAAAGCTTCCTCTTTGGACAGCTCGTCAGATCTTTTGAAATTAAAAGTCACAAGAAGGTTAGGATAACGGTGGTATCGACCTATGTGCAGTCTGGCATCAAGCACCAAAGCGTTGCACCGGAGTTTGTGTAAGGGACTAAAACTGCCATATTGTACATGTTGCTTTTATTTCTTTTCTCTCTTTCTGGTTGGGTTGCGAGACCGTCGTAGACAGTTGCACATAATGTGACCAGTGTAATGCTCGATGTTGCACATGCTGAAATTAATGCGCAATGTTGAATATGTCGCTTTCAAAGAACAGAAAAAATACCCAATTGAGAAATGAGATCCAGACAACACATTGTCGAGTTATGCAAGAAAAAAAACGGTGTTCTCGCCACAACGGTTATCCGGATTGGGCGATATGGATTTCAATACTTTATTCCAATATTGTTCCATGGACGTACAGCAATATAAGAGGTTAGGGTGCCTAGAAATAATGTACCACATGACACCAACACGGCGCACCACCCCACTCGACCATCACGCCCTCACGCTCACTTTCCTTGGTTTGTACTCACGCAATCGGGTTACTGCCTGCGCCTGCTGTCTGCCGCCAATGCCAAGCGTATTGCCGTGCCTGCAAACGGCCAACCGCCTCGCCATAAACAATACTTCTGTCCCCGCTCACCTCGATTGCTTTGCTTTCTTCACGACAACCACCGAAATTATCGCTGCTGCTGCATCAATTCAACGCGAGCATATCTTCAACTTCAACTTTAGAGCTACTAATTTCGAATTTCCACTACCTGGATTAGCTCTATTGCCATCACCATGTTTGGCCCCAAGATATTCGCGGTTGCTGCGCTTGCGTTGGGTGTCGTCAGTCACGAGAGTAAGTACCTTTCTTTGTTAACAAGAAAAGAAAAAACTCCCCAGCCACCTAAATACTACTATCAATCACCACACCACAAGCTAACATAATTCCGCAAAAAGCTACCTGTCCAGCGCCCACTACCGTCACCATCACCGTCACGCACTCTATTACCCGGCCTGGACCGCCACCAACGCCTTCAAGCTCGTATGCACCTCCTCCTCCTGCTGAATCGGTCGTAGCGCCTAGCCCGAGCAGCGTTGTCAGTACCACTAGCGCTGTAACGCCCCATGAGCCTATTCCTACTTCAGAGACTGCTGCACCCTCTGGCCCGGCTCCAAGTATTGCTCCATCAGCGCCACTCGAGAGTTCCCCCGCCGCCTCTGGTGCTACTACTGTTCCTGTCGTCGTCGCACCGTCCACCGTTGTGCCGTCCGCCTCATCAACCATCGAAGCCCCACCAGCTTCAAGTCCTGCTCTCCCAGAGGTTACTACGAATGCAGCTGCTATTGCTGCGCCCTTGACTGGCCTGGCCTCGCTCTTGGCTATTGGCGCTGCAGCCCTAGTTGCCTTCGTCTGATAAGACTTTGTGCATATATGAAACCAAAGTTCGATTTCGGATTGAGAAGAGAAAAGATAAATAAATAAACAAACGACTTTTATGCCTTCATTTTAACATTCGAGGTCGGAGTGGGGCTGGCTATGATAATGATGCGGAGGGGTTTTCTTTGGCGGGCTAGCTATCCGTCGTGAACCGCGCACTTTCTACGACTACCAATGCTCCCACATTCACGACTTCACACTTAATGTAATGGGTAGTTTTTTTTAAGGCGGAGATGGGGTAAATTAATTATTCGTCTAGTAGCAGATTCTACTATGGAATCTATGTAGCTTCCGACGAAACTAATACAAAAACTTGACTACGTCATTCTCTCTTTTCTCGTCGTTTGCAATGGACCCTTGCTCCACTGACTTCACTATACATGATAATCTTAAGCAGCTTCTTCCTTCTCTTTTTAAAAAAAACATACAAGTATGCAGATCAGTCTAAAATCGTCCTTGGTATTCTCTTCTATCATGCCATTGGGCGAACAAGCTATGACTAGACAAACAGGATCAAGACAATGCGACAGAATGAACAGACAGGTTACAAGATGCTTTACGCCCCATATCTCTCCCACAAAAGAACCCAAAAAACAAACAAACAGCCAGAGCAATGGTATGATATAATTATACATTTCTCGTCTCATCCCCCTCAAACCTCACAATAGCGTAATATATACTCTTACTCCTTGATCCCCATTTGCTCCACGACCCTGCATATCTCGCATTCCCTCAGAAAAAGAGAGAGAGAGAAAGAGAGCCAGGTAAAATTAAAAAAAAAACAAGGGAGAGCGCACGAGCGAGTGTTGAACGGCAACCTCTCCCCCCCCCCTCCTCCTTCAACTTCTCTCTCTTTACCAGTACACCAACTCGGATATATATATATCCTCTCAACTACTTATACCTCGTCCTCAACTCATCAATCTCACGCTGGAACTTCTCCATATCATCGAGTATATTACTCGAATTACTCCTCACTTCCTGTCCTTTCTCCGCACCCACACTGACGCTCTCATCAACACCCAACACCCTCTCCTTCTCATCAACAGGCGAATACAACGCATGCTCGTTTTCTCCTTTCTCATCCACGGGCGCATACGCGCGGCGCAGCGAGCTCTCACTTGCCACGCTAGTGCGCCGGTGTTCAGTGCTCGCGTGGCGGATCTCGGTGCTTGTGCGGCGGCTCTCGGAGGGGGAGGTGGAGGAGTACGGGTATGGGCGTTGTTGGTCGAGGCTCGAGCGGTTGGATTGGCGGCGTCGCGGGGGAGGGGGCGGAGGCATGATGCTGCCTGTGCTTCCGCCTGAGACGTTGCGCTGGGCGTTGCGGGTTGAGGAGACGGAGGAGGTGCGGTGCATGCTGGGAGCTGGCGATGGGGCTTCCGAGTCTGCAGCGTTTCGGCGGGGAGAGGGGGGATCGGGGATGGAGCGCGGTATTCGGACTGAACTGGAGGATTGTGCTAGCTCTGTGCTGGAGGAGTTTGTGCTTGAAGCTCCTAGGTTCGCAAGTCGCGCGCCGTATCGAGAGGGTGGGGGAGGAGGTGGTGACTTTGCGCTCGACATTGGGTCATGGTAGGTTGATGTTGGGGTTTGCGGAGCTTCGATAGAGTGTTGCGAGGATATTGTGAGATTTGAGCTGCTACGCGACCGGTTTCCCGTAGTTGTCGTCGTTTTCAACTGACTGTGTCTCCGAGCTATTGGTACAGGTGGAGGGGTCTTTTTTGGCTTCGCCGGATCTTCCGCAGATTTGGGAGCGTCGCTTGGTTTTGGTGGTGTCGGCCGTGGTTGCGACGGTGACTGCTGCTGGGCCATCGGAGACGACGGAAACGGCTTACTCGCATCTGAGCTGTTTGTCCGGCTAACACTTGCTGGCGCCACAGGCTCAGTTGCTTCGAATTGGTCAAATGGAACTGTCTGTGGCTGTCTCGGTGCGACGAGTTTGCCATGACGATGCTTGGGCGCAGGCGGGGGTTGCTTCTTGCCCTTTTTCACTTCAGGCATCATCCCCACGCCCTCGTCCTCATCTTCGTCTGCTACGTCGTCTGAAGTTCGCGACGACGCAGCATGTATCTCTTGTGGGTGCTCTGATATCGACTGCCGCGATACTGAAGAGCTATCTGTGCTGCTGCTTTCAAATTGTCCACTACTAGTCGAATACGAAGCGCTTCCAGGTCGCGCAGACTGGCCGGAAGCGCGCGGAGTAGGCATTCCAGTCATGAGCAGATTCTTGAAGCTCTCCACATCTAGCGAAGCTCTGTTGTTGCCTGGCGTTGGCCTTTGCGCATTTGTCCGTTCTTCCGTGCTGCCCTCGCCCTGCTGCGGTTCCAGCGATGCCAGCTTTTTTGAGAACGGGTTCGCGGGTGCATTGCCTGGCGCAGAAGCTCCTTGTGATCCGCTCAAGTATGGTCTGGTGCTGGGCAATGCGCCTGCTGTCACCAGGGCATCTTTCCCAATCACCTGCGCATTGGCTTCGCCTGCGGTAATGGAGTGGTTGGCAAAACCGGCGGGGTTCACCGGAGGCGGCGGGCTCGCAGGGCGACCTCCATGGCTTGCTCGCCGGGCCATGAGTTCGTTGAGCGTGACATTGTTGTCGTCGTCGAAGTTGGGCGGCGGCGGAATGGTGGTAGTGGGAGAGACTATGCGTACAGACTTCTTCGTCTTTGTAGGCGCGGCGGCATCTTCGAGCACTGTAAGACAATTACTCCTTCAATGCCAGCAGAAGCAGAACGGCAAGGCAAGGGAATACCATGGTCGCTGTCTCCCCGGCGAGCCTCGAGCACGCTGCTATCCGTGTTGATAAAGGAAGTCTGCGGTACGGGCGCGGGCCGAGGAAACGCTTGCGAGGCGCGAAAAGGGTTCCCGGACGACATGCTGGGGCTAAAATCAATTCATTATGCTATGTACATGGAAAAGACTCGCAGGAGGCGGTAAGTGTAAGACAGCCTGGAAGAGATGCCCCTGCTGGTGGTCGGGCCAGCAAGTCGATCATCGCCGACATGCACGCGTCGATCTGGCGGGACAGCGAACAACCCCCACCATCGCATCTCACCCTGTCATGTACGCCATTTGCGCCTACCAGCCAGCAAACAAGCGGCTCGGATATCGCGGGTGGGCCCTGCACATGTATGTCCATGTGCAAAGTTTGCACCAGCGAACAGTTGTTTGCCAACGTGTGGTATCAGCTTCATCGTGTGCTGTCAATGCCATATATGTACTAGCAGCCACGACTGTAGCGCCGGCTATACAACGTCATACACCGTGTATGTACATAGAATGTCTGGTACACCCTACCCTTGCTACGTATGACATACTGCCTAATCAATATACACATGCCATCCTGCCTGGCTGCCATACCATTTGCGCGCAAGGTTTCCTCCACTCTCTGTCGGCTGACTGAACGCAACCTTGGCCTTTTCAATCCTCATCCCATACAAGAAATTTGCTCTTGCGCAGTCAAGCAGCCTTGTCGCAATGCCCTTTTTCCGATGCTGATTTGACGTCCATATGCGCGATATGCCTAGGATGGCCGGATCGGATTCATTGCTGATAGAAATGGACGAACTTTGAGTCGTGTCAGGGAGCTTGCAGGACTGCTCAGACGCAGCATCTGGATCAAGAGCTTGGAAGGCTTCCCAGATCCGCTCTGCTAAGCAAGCCCCCACACACTTGCTACCCCGGATGTAAAGATAGACTTTGAATCGATCGACAAGGGCGGGTTTGAGCTTGTCTGTCGCTGGCTTTTCGGCGTCGGTGGATACTGTTTCTCCAATCAGAATATCGGTCGTGGTTGGCTGACACTTCTGGCTCCAGAGCTCTTCGTCGGATATGGGAACAGCTGCAAGTTCAGTGTTCACTATCTTCAACACATCGCTCGCCCGGCTCCGCAGCAAAAGCGCATCTTTGCGCCCGACCACCGCGATAAAGCTCCCATCACTCCCACTCCATATTTCATTTTTTCGTAACCGCTGAACGAGCGCCTTTGTGAAGTCCATACCCCCAAGGTTGATTGCATGAAATTTCTTGTGTAATGCGGCATCCTCTAAATTGGAGGGTATGTATTGCATTCCACACGTCTTACATGTTTTTCGTGTCTCCGAGGCCAAGTCTAGTTGCATCTGCACCATGGGCTTCTTTTTTGGTGGTGGTTTCGGCGGGCTTTGTGCATTTTGGGCTCGTTCTATAAGCGGCTCTTTGCTAGTTGCGGTAGCTTTGGTTTGCTTCTTGAATATAGAAAATACAGGTCGACGTTTCTGGAGCGGAGGGGGAGAGCTGCGCGGTGTTGGTGACGATGGTGGACTAGACCGAGCTAATGCGTCTGAGAAGATGGCGGGTGACTCTTTTGGACTTGATGGCGGAGACGAAGATTTCGTGTGTGAGGGCGAGGAGTTTTCTATTGCGAGAACAACGGGAGGGATCAGTACCTCGGTCTCGATACTCTCGACTGCAGTTTCGACGCGTCGTCGCTTCGTGGGCGGTTCGTCGTAGAGTGAGCGTTTGTTTTGGCGCGAATATGTCCGAACTACTTTCCTGAGCATTCATTAGCTTCAGGTTCTATACGCAAATCCAAATACATACTTTGCTGCGAAAGACGGCATTTCTGCGCTGTATAGCAGCAATGGGATTTCGTGTGCGTGGTGAACCGCCAACGCGATGGTAGACGCGTTTTAGCGCGACGCGCAAGTACCATGCCCACCCGACGTCACTCCCCCTCCCCCTCCCCCTCCTTCACGTGTCGAACTAGTTCGTCATTCGTTGAAAGGCACCCTGTTATCTTATGTTGAAGGAATATAGAGCTAGGCTGGATATTTTTGAGACATCAACTTCTGCACGCCATATTAAGGCTGTGAATGGCCGTGGCTTTTTTTGGTTGCCTGACACTTCGAGTCATATGATGTCCTGTATGGGAAGGTGCATCAGCCTTGAGCTGCTTCGTCATACTCAAAAGGAACCATCTATATAAAGTGTTGAGTCAAAATACTGACTCAAATAACATTCTCGTAAATCTCTCACCATATATATTCATCTATTGTAGCCAGGCTCCTACGTTTCACATTTGTTCAGCGATAAAACTTTGGTCAACATGGCCGATCAACCAACCACAGCGCATCCCGCCACGATGCAAACTTCATTGGAAAACTCAACCGCATCTGAGGGCACAGCATATCCTACCCCAATAGCAACAACAGAACGTCTGATAATCCGTCCAATGTACCTGCCAGACGCCCCGTCCATGTCTTTACACGCCAACGACCTACGCGTCTCACAGTACATGTCTCTTGCCTTTCCAAGCCCCTACACAATATCCAGCGCCGAGACATGGATCAACATGAACACTGTACTCCCATACCAAGAGGCCTTTGTTGTATGCGAGCGTTCGGAACCAGACGTTGTAATCGGAGGACTCGGCATCAAGGCTGGCAGTGATGTCAATGCTCACACTGGCGAAGTCGGTTACTGGATTGCCCCAGCGCACTGGGGAAAGGGCTACATGACAGAGGTGTTACAGGGATTCACAAGATGGGTGTTTGAAAACTGGGACAGGAATGGACAGCGCTTGACGAGGATATGGGGTGGTGTCTTTTCGGGCAATTTCAGAAGCATGCGGTGCCTTGAAAAGTCTGGCTACGCGCCTGAAGGCGTGATGAAGGGTCATTGCCAGAAGAATGGCAAGGTACTGGATATGCATCTTTTTGGCTTGACAAAACCTGATTGGGAAAAGAGAATGGGCGAGGTGTCTGGCAAGTAATATACCTTAGTGAAGAGTAAGGTGGCGGCGAACTTTGTTCTAAAACTTGTAATTGAATCGTACTCATGGTCCTGGCCAAGCAATATACGCTTGGGCCTGCATGAGGAGTATCTGGATTGGTATGCTGTGTCTTCCCCTCTTCAGAACGACACATTTTTCGTTTGCGTACTTGCTACCTTCCACCAACATCTGTGCCTGTTCTTCTCCCAGCAAATCTGATAAGCTGTAGACTGCCACCTTTTTCCCTCTCCATGTGGTGACATGAAACTCGAGCTCAGGAAACTGTAGGCGAGGTTGCATGCGAGGCACTATAGGCCCCGAGTACCAGTGTGGCGATGTGTGCGTGACTCCTGGAGCGGCGTGAGGATCAAGTTTCGATGCAAAGTTCTTGGCAAAATAGCTTGACCACTTCTCCAACTCTGTTTTGTTCTCGTCTGAACGAACTTTTAAATCATTCGCACGCGTGCGCAACGAACGAAAAATGAGCACACAGGACACATCCTCGACGTCCTCTATGTCTTCAGTCCGGGGACTTGGAACAGGGATCAAGCGACCCCTAAATCCAAAGTACCAAGCTAAGCGATCAGCAAGTCTCTTGCGCATCATTTCCAGTATGAAGTCGGCCATATCTTCTCTCCAGACTATGTTCTTCAGGTTATGCGCACCGAGCTTTTCGCTCATGCGTGAGTTTAGTACCTTCTGCCATGCTTTGCTCTTGCTTAGATGTGCTGCAACTAGGTGTCTTCCCAAGAATCGATATGGCGGGCCAAGATGTTTAGTGTCGGTTGTTAGTGAGACGGGAAGAAGCCATGGATCTTGGGTGGTTGGGTGAGGGCGTGGGTGGAGAGACGTCAGAAAAGCGACAGGAAGCGAGATCTGCGTTGAGCGACATTGACGCACAGGCGATGCTAAGGCATGAGCTGTACAGTAGTCAGTAAGCAGTCCTTTGAGAGAAATGTCATGGTGTCTTGTACCAAATGGATTCTCCCACAATCTCTTCTGGAATGTCGTAAAGTTGGCAACGTTTGGTATTTCCTTTCTCTGCTCGAAGCGCGACCTTTGTTCCAAGACCAGAGGGTCTAGTAATGGAGGCAATGGAAGATCCTTTGCCTGCTTGTCCTTGCGGACGCGGACAGTCTGGTAATCATCTTTGCGCGTGGGGCCGAGGTCGTCACCTCTTAAAACGTGACCGGGAATGTGGGCGGAGCTTGCGCGGCATTGGGCCTTGGGGTGCCGTCTGGCTAGGCTCAAGCGTGACCCTGGGCGAAGGATCCATCTGCCTAGCATCGGGCAAGAAGAAGAAACAAGGTAAGGTTGATAGGACTTTGGTTGAGGTGCGACATGATGGCATCGGACCTCCGGCTTGGCATGCACCATAGCTTTCTTGCGGGGAAAGCACCAACGATCTCCACAACACAAATCATGGCTGCAGTATTACAACGGATTACAAGGCCATCTGCCCTGCGATGTCTTTACAGGAATGGGATTCGATCCATGTCGAGCCAGTTTGGCTTTCAGCCTCAATGGAACACGCAACAGCCTGAGCAACAAACACCACGCGCGATATCACTCCCCATACCCTACGTGACAGAGACCACTGTGAGCTCTAATTCGCCTTGTTTCCAAAACCATGTCTGACTTCCTAGGGTGGAGGCTGGAAAACCTCTGACATCTTCTCGCGTCTTCTCCAAGAACGTATCATCTGTCTAAATGGCGAAGTAGACGACTACATGTCCGCGAATGCTGTAGCACAGCTTCTCTTCCTCGAAGCCGATAACCCTGAGAAGCCCATCTCTATGTACATCAACAGTCCTGGTGGTAGTGTCAGCGCCGGTCTTGCCATTTACGATACAATGAACTATATTCGGTGTCCAGTGACAACGATATGCATGGGCATCGCAGCATCCATGGGTTCACTACTTCTTGCTGGTGGCGCTGAAGGACAACGGTACATACTGCCACATGCTCGCGTCATGATACACCAGCCGAGCGGTGGTTACCGTGGCAAGGCCAGTGACATCGCAGACCATGCAAAGGAGATTTTGAGGATACGAGACAAGTTGAACAGAATCTACCAGAACCATATCACCAAAAAGAGGACGCTCGAAGAGATTGAGAAGTACATGGAGCGCGACTACTTCATGGATGCGCAAGAGGCAGTTGACTTTGGCCTGGTGGATAAAATACTGGAGAGAAGGGAAGCCCCGGGAAAGGAAGCGGACAAGAAATAATACCGTCCATAGCCTAAGACAAGACGTAAGCTGTCAAATCCAGTGAAAACAAGAACCGGGTCATCCTTGCCACTGAACAAAAGCAGAAACTTTTGCTTGTGATATTGCTTCGAGTTCCTGTGAAAACCTTCCTGACTTATTTTAACAATAGCCTGTATTATTTCACTCTCTATGCGCGCCAATACTTAATAAGCCTTGGCCTCTCCAAATCGACAGACCGCACGGGCTTTGACTTACTTTCTGCCCGTTCAGCAACCCGCATATCTAAATCGGTCTTGACCGTGCCACGCCCTTGCCTTGGCCATGCGTTAAAGCGGTTAGTAGTGATTGATTGGTTGTTGGCTGGAGCTCTTTACATGCTTCACTCTGCCTCCTGCATACTACCGCCGTGGCTGACGACCGAAACTAGGCAACACAGCGGCTGTCTCAGAAAACCAATAACAATAGCGTTTCGCCCTGGCAGTGAAAGCCAATTCTGGCCATTTTGGAGTTGCTGTTGCAAGGTATTCCCACTTCACCAACACAGTGGCAGCCAAACCCCGCACGTGAGACCGCGCATTTAACGCTAGTCCCCACTTTGTAATCACACTCACCTCCAACAAGGCATATCCGTGAAGCTCGATTTTACCTCCTTTCTCATTTATTTGCAGTTCCAACACGCGCATGGAAAACGAGTCTTGCTCTAGCGCTGCGCGGACCAAGGCTGAAGCCGTACCATTTTGTCCGTCATGGACATCTACATTCCGAGCGTAAGTCCCCTCCCCTAAGGCAGTCAGCTGTAGTGACTTGCAGCAGCAGGCTAGGGAGATAAGCATATGTGTTCCGAAACACAAACTAATCGCGCGCTGCTAGGTGCCCAAAGATGCAAATCACATCGAGTTGCAGCGTTTCCTGAAAGACAAACTGCACAAGCTTGATATATTGGCGTTCGATATCAGAAAACACAATAGCCACAATGGACGACCGTTTGCGATACTCACGGTCCCAAGCACAAGCAATGGCAACAGGTTCCTCCAGTATTACGGAAGTCGCGGCAGACAGGTTCCTCTGCACTCCCTGGTCTTCCAGGGTCAGGCACTCACTTTCTGCAAGAACAACAAGCCTGGGCAACCTGATCCTCTCAAAGTTAGATCGCTGCAGGAGAAGGATGCAGCCATGAGGTCGAAAATGGGCAGCCAGGCGCCGACAGCACAGGCTTCGCAAGCTGGTCGATCAACACTTTCATTCTCGGCTCTTATGACAGGCGTGTGGGATTACACCACCTTAGGGACACTTTCATTTCAGGAAAGGTACAAAGACAAGAGGCAAGGCTATATCACGTTTGGGAAGTCCTCTCTAGTAGTAAGTTTCTCGACTTATATGTTCAAGACGACCGGAGAAATGAGCTGCAGATGCCAGTTCGGTACTAGTTGCCTTCTACATGCCATTTTCTCAAGTTTCAACTGTAGCCAGCTAATACGATCAAACAGGTGTATCTACAGGAGAGTACCCTTGAATCTTACAATTGGCATTGTCGGATTGATATACCCTACGCAATCATCGAACATGTCGTGCCATCCTTTGGCTTCGAAAATGAAGGAAGGAATGGGGCCATCACGTTTACCCTAAAGTCTCCTCCAAAGTTCTACAGTATCGAGTCTACTGATGATCTGCATCTCTATGCTGGCAAAGAAGCACCTCAAGTACAAATTTTGCTCGCAGGTTTGGCAGCGCTCAACTTGACACCAAAGCAAAAGACAAATAGACTAGAGAGACTCTGCGCACTCAATGCCAACAACAACAAGAACTCCGCTTTGTGTATGGTATATCAGATCACCTTTTATGATACGCGGAGTGCTCAGCATGCTTGGAACTTCGTCAAGGACCACTCAGTACCTGAAGAGTATTGTTGGCAAACTACGATTCCCAACAAAGCCAGCCATAGGATTGAAGATGAACTTGCTGTCGTTGAGAGCAAGCTTTCCACCGATAATCCCTCCATCACGCCCGCCTTCAACTTTGCGGTCCGCTTTCAGCTTGCAGCGCTCGTGTTGGAGGGTACCATTACTCCAACGGCGATGATCAATCTCATACCACATATTCAGCAAATCGCAAAGCAACACGGTGCTGAGACGACTGCAACTGCAGTAAGGCGGCTGGGACAACAAGTGCCTACACCAGCCCCGGACGTTTCCGTAGAGACGTTCAAGGTGAGGAAGTTTGTCGAACTCATACAAGAGAATGCTGAAGATTGCAAACATTGGAAACTAGCTTCCAGAGATTTGAATGGCAAGCAAAAGAAGCATCATCATCTTGCTTTGACTTACAAAGCCACCGTAACACCAACAGGTATGTAAGCGTTTGGGCATGTACAGACTTTCATTGCACTAATGCCATATTTAGGTATATTACTCCGAGGCCCAGACTGGGACGTGTCCAACCGTGTCCTTCGAAAATACAGTACACGAACCGAGTACTTTATGAGGGTCTTCTTCGCCGATGAAGATGGACTATCCGTGTTCCATGACTCACGTGCGTCCCAGAATCAAGTCTATGAGCGTTTCCGCAATGTCCTTCAGAACGGTATTTCAGTTGCAGGACGGACCTTTCAGTTCCTCGGCTTTTCCCATGCTTCACTGCGCAATCATCAAGCTTGGTTCATGGCACCTTTTGAGATGGACGGGTCCCTGGTCCGCGCCCGAAACGTTATACAAGACCTTGGAGACTTTTCGCATATCCATTGCAGCGCAAAGTGTGCAGCCAGAATCGGTCAAGCCTTTTCTGACACGATATTCTCAGTCCCAGTTCCAGAAACTGCCTACGTTACCGAGGTCAAGGACGATGTTGAGAGAAACGGTCGCACGTTTAGTGATGGCTGCGGGACAATATCACTGGAGCTTCTCCGTACTGTATGGCGCGCTCTCCCACCAGAGCGAAGGCAGCAGAGGCCGACCGTCCTGCAGATTAGATATCGAGGCGCCAAAGGGGTCCTGTCACTCGATGCATCCTTGTCTGGTCAACAGTTACATGTTCGCAAAAGCATGACAAAGTACATTGCTAAAGAAACTTGGAGAGACCTGGAGCTTTGCGGAGCCGCTTACAAGCCACTTCAAGTATTTCTTAATCATCAGTTCATCAAGATACTGGAAGACCTGGGCGTCCCAGCGGAGAACTTTCTGGGTGTACAGGATGAGGCTGTCAACACATTGAAACTTATAACTGAGCATCCACTAAATGCTGCTAGCTTCCTTGGTAAGCACTATCTTTTACAGTCTAACAACGTTTTTTATTAGGCTTTACATCATCAGAATTGGCGTTGACATTTTACAGCATACTCACACTCCTGTGTCTTTGCCAAGGTACCACAGTTGTTTGAAATGATGCACTACATAGGCTTGTCCTTTCATGCGGATCGATTCTTGACCGACATTGTGGAGGTGGCAGCTATGTCTTCACTAAGAAGTCTAAAGTACCGCGCTCGAATCCCAATCGAGAAAGGCTACCTCTTGTACGGCGTCATGGACGAGACGAATACCCTCAAGTATGGCGAGGTCTATATTGCAACACAGGACCATGACAGGACCGGGAAGCTGAAGAGGAGTATCCTTGTTGGTAACCAAATTGTTGTCACCAGAGCTCCAGCACTGCACCCTGGTGACGTCCAACTCGTGAATGCAGTAGATGTCCCAGACGACTCACCCCTCCGTGCTCTTCATAACTGTGTTGTGTTCTCACAACAGGGTCCGCGCGATCTGCCATCACAATTGAGTGGAGGCGATCTTGATGGCGACCTGTTTCACATCATATACGACCAGAGGCTCGTTCCTGCCTACACTGTGGAGCCAGCAGAATATGACAAAATACCTGCCAAGGACTTGGGCCGCCCAGTGGAAGCCAACGACATTGTCGATTTCTTCATTGAGTACATGAAAATGGATCGCCTGGGTCAGATTTCCAACAAGCACAAGATTCGAGCCGATGTAAAACCTGACGGCACGCGAAATCCGGACTGCCTGATTCTCGCCAAGCTTGCTTCTGATGCTGTTGACTTTAGTAAGACGGGTGTACCGGCGGATATGTCGCAAATACCCAAGGGCATCGATCACTTCCGGCCTGATTTCATGGCGCCAGGATCCAACTTGGTCATCAACGAGCTTGGTGCAGCAGAACTCGCAGAACTTGAAGAAGACGACATTGATGATCCTGACAGCGTTAGTGTGCTTGACGCCGACAAAGGGAGGATTCGTTACTACCGTAGTGACAAAATCCTAGGAATTCTGTACCGCGCCATTGATGAAAAGAAGTTCTTCGACAAGATGAAGAGAGACTACGAGATCTTCCGGCAGCGCTGGGGCAAGGAGTCGCTGATTCACAAACTCAAGCGCTACATCATTCGCGAGACACAGGGCTTACAGTGGGAGCACCACTGGGACTTTGCCGAGCAGCTGCGCGAGACGTACGAGGACAACATGCTCGAGATTATGGATACGCTGCGTCCCACGCGCGGCCAGCCTCTTACTGAACTGGAAGTATTCAGCGGCAATATCCTTGGAAAGAAGGAGCGCGCGCCCTCCCGCTACATCCGCGAGGCCAATCTCGAGGTCCAGGAGCGCTTCAACCGCGATGTCAGCAGCATAATCAAAACCATTATCCATGGCGACAAGGACTGGGATGGTGAGGAAGATGCTACCGAGGCGTTGCCGCGATCTATTGCGTGTTTCATGGTGGCGTTGGAGGTAACGGGTTGGGAGAACTATCGCAGTCTCCAGAGCTGGAAGTACGTGGCTGCTTCTGTGTGTCTGGAGCAGCTCTGGAAGTACAACGGTGGTACGTTGCGTTGTCTTTGAGCAAACGTGTCGCTTCTCCGTTGATATCGGTTGGGTTGATATGTGAAGTGAACTGTCTAATACCCATCATGGTCTTGAAATATTCGAGAGATCGAGAGCAGATGATGATTATTATGATGATTTATTTGTTTTTGTTTTTTTCGGTCCTGTTTTTGAACAGTTGATGGTTAGTATACCTTAGATGGCGAGTATTCTAGATAATACATACCTTTTTTTCTGGTACAAGATTGGTATTTGTGTGACCTTTGAAGTGTACAATAACCCAAAAGACATGTCTGTCCAGACAGAACTAGCTTCTTACATATTTCCCAAGCTAGCGAATGGGCACATCCCATCACGAGGTATGGTAGGTGTATGATAGTGTTTGCATAGACCTCGGGTAGGGGTAGAGGTGGGGTAGATTTTGGACTTTAGCCCCGGTATGTAACTCCAACCCACTCTACAAGCTAGGATCTAGGAAATGGTTATGCCTCTTGATCGATCAAAAAGAATTGGATTCGGAGTCTTTGTCATCGCGCAACAGAATCACTATAATACGATTACCTAATAATTAAATAGGGCTTGGAAGTCTCATACCAAGTTCTGTACTCAAAAGGAGAGATTTAGACCACATCTGTGATTACAATGTTATGTTTATTCATGCGAAATGATGAAGATATGGGCCACTACGGCGGAATCACCTATTCATCAGTGACCGTTTTGGGAAAAGCGTTCACGAACAAACATGCGGCCCGCAGATAATGAAGAAGATGCGAGTACAACTAACTATCCTCCTAATTAGCATATCCACTCAAGATCATCCATTCTGTTCATGCAGCCCACCCTCCATTGCTACTCTCTCACACTTGTCCTTTGGTCTTCCATATATCTGGAAACCTCTTTAGGGCACTTTTACGAAAAGGCTGTTTCTACCATAGCCTCCGCACATGTCGCTGCTCCCGCCACACTTCCCGTTGCATTCCGATTCATCAACACTCTTAGTCGGGGTTTCAAAGCTGTTTCCGCAGAAACAGTGAGTAGAATACTGGACACCGTAGAGTGCGTAGTCCGTGCAAAAGTCCGCACATATCTCACGTGTCATCACGGTACTGTACTCCGTCTTGCTGTCTATCACTCTGGGAATGGCGTCTGTAAAGCAACCCAGGTATTTCCAAGAGCTGGTTTGCAATCTAGCCAATTCTTCGGAAAGCTCCTGCTCTCTTCTTAAGAGATCTTGCTCCCGACTAAGACACATGGCTTTATCTGCCTGGCAGGTATCGTCGGAAGGCGTAGGTGGAGTAGTTGAAGAATTCAGGGAGAGATTCTGGTTGAAAGTGATGCCGTTTGAACAAGCGCACGAACAGATCGGAACTGTAGAGGAATCGGTACACTCTAGGGTAGGTGTGCCACCTGCATTTGATGTTAGCATTCCCGGGAGTCCTTGACTATATTTTCATTTGGAGATTGCGGACCGTTTTTGCATTCGTATGAAGTCCCAAGAACATCGACTGAGCCAAGGGCTTGCTGAGAGTTGTAGGAATAGGCTCCGACACAGAGAATAGAGACAATGGGGGCATATGAAGTCTTCATATTTTCTAAGTAGCTTATATTAAGATGGTTGAGATAAGTAGAGACGATTGGGGTGATCGAGCAGGATTAGTTAGAAGATAAATAGTTACAAAAGCTTTTCAACCGACACTTTATACTTCCTCTTTTACGTCTTACGTGGCTCTTCCGTGTGTGCATCATTAACACCGCCATAGAGGGGCTATTGGGGCGTTAGATTGCTTTACATGCAATAGCGCAGATCCAATAAATAAAATTAAGCGCATCAAAAGCCGCATTGCTGGAAGTCGACGGCGACCTATACCAGATTAATTAGCTGCATTATGAGAATGACTTTCTCTTCAAAAGAAACACCTTAGAGTCAGTAACTCGTATATGGAAGAAGAGTAATCATTATTAAGAAAACTGAAATAGGTTTACTATTGGCTATGCATTTGTTTTGGCCGAACATCCGAAAATGCAAGGCCCCACTCGATCAGAACTATCACACCACTATTAATTATAATGCACCTACGATGATTAAAGGAAATCGCATCTAGTGATAATGCTAGCACTTGAAAGTACAGTATTTCAAAAGGTCTGGTTCTACGCTTAGTCCCCGTCTATAGGGCCTTTAGTAAAAGGAATGCCACAGCCTGTCACCGTAAAACAATTACATAACCAGGATTTGAGGATTGGAGATGAATCATTAACCATGTAGATCCCATAGAGCGGGGAGCGTTCTGCTAGCTATGAACGGTTCGTGCATTAGCTATTAGTATCAATTATTAAATATACACCTATATGCTAGCCGTGATGGTGGAACAATGATCCAGCCTACGACCTCTTGCAAGCATCCTGATCAGCCGTACATTGACCATTGCCTGATTTAGGGCCCAAAGGATCGCAGTCGAAAAGACAGACACACTCATAACTATCTGTTCCTGGGACACCCTGCGAGAACAAATTAGCATCAATGCAGTGTGAGGACAAGTTGGCGATGAGAACACTACTTACACGAGCGCAAGAATCCAACAGGTCATTGTAAGGATTATAAAACTCGCATCGGCACAATGAGGCACAGTCGCGTGGCTAGCTTTTCTTTAGCATCTATGCATCATCCATGCAAGAATAAATTTCTTACAATAATCCAGCATTCGTCGTTGCCATTGCCACACTCGATAGAGTGCCTGGTCGAGGTCAAACACCCCATGTCGGGAGGTGGAGGGCATTGACTGTTGTCGCACTGAGAATCGTTAGCGTTTGTATTAGAGAAGCGCTGGGTACCGTTATGGGTCTCTGCTTACCCCAGGTTTTCCGTTGATCGGGCTCCTTGGTTTCACCCTCGGTACCACTTTTGCGGGCACACTCTTGATCAGGTAGCCTGCTGAAGCCATGCCCAGAAGGGAGGACGAGAAGACTATTACGCTTGCGAGCTTCATGGCTGGAGTGTAGAGGGTGATTGTGGAATTAGTTATTAGAGGTAAGTTCGAGCTGATCGGCTTTGGGATATCTGCGAAATGGCAAAGAACGAGTGATAAAGCCTGAAGACCGGTCTGGTGTGGCGAGCCCAGATGTACACCGAAAGAAACTTGGCGTGTTTGGCCCTAGATATATTTTCTTGGGAGCCAAACACAAAAGGATAAAGCCGCCCATATGAGATATTCTACTCGGTTCAAGGTGCCGAAATTGCGGTGTCTGGTGTCCGGGATGTGTGAATGGTCAGACTGTAAGAAGATCTTCAAAAATGGTTGTCTGATACGCTGTGATTTGCGGAGTGAGACTGCTCGATACTCCACGGCCAAAAGTCCCTGCAAGGATCTGACTGTACTGATAAACGATCAACCCAAACCAGTGTCATCCTGTCAGTGTCACTGTGCTGACACGAGTACATGTGGAGCGTAAGGCTACTAGTGTAAACTATGCGGCTATTCGGAGATTAGGCTTGTAAGCCTCTGTCTTACACCAGCATTATGTATCCCTACAATCCTTTTTCTTCATGTGTTTACTTATGTACATTTCAGGGGCTATTGAATTCATTCCAAACTCTCTTTTGTTCAGTTTCCGACAACCCATGTACTGTTTTGGAACGTCTCTGCTTTGTGCACGTCTCATCTCTGCACATGGAATAGAAAGAGATGAAAGAATAGAAACGAGCTATCGATGTCATGATTATATCAACGATTGTATGTGGGACGGTTTTATTTCTGCAGTTGAATGGGATAAAGTCGAGGCGTAAGGACAAAGCACCTGTGAAGATATCCATATGCAGTCAGCCGAATCCACCAGGCACGAGGAAAGAGCTGGAATGGAATGCGCATAAGTCATCGGTACATCTCGACATGGTTGATTTGGCAACGCTTTCTACTATTATGTAACTGATGAATAGTCCCCCAAGGCTTTGAAAAAATAAGGTTTATGCAGCTGAGGATTACAAAGATGCGTAAAGTGCTATGCAAAGATGACGAATATAATGTTTTATAGTACAAAAGCTTTGCTAATGATGCTTGTTAGATATGACGAACTGAGCGAGCGTCATAGTGGCTACCCCATCGCCCTTAACCCATTCACCTCATGGTAGGTAGTCTGTTTGCTCCTGCCCCCCGCATTTAGAAGGAATGTTTTTGGGAACTGTAATTTTGTCTACTGTACCGTCAATCAGGCTAAAATGTTCTCAATCTTGCGACTTATGAAATCTTATCCATCAGATGAATTATCCAGCGAGTCTCTCAATTGCTAGTTGTTAGCATAAGAGATTTCCATTTCTCTTGATATCTGCCACTAAAAATAGTGCTTTATATAAGCAGGCATCAATAGGGATGAGAATGAAAAGCGGTGATAAGCTGAGTAAGCTCTCATCAGCTGTGTGACGTTCAGGTCACACCGAAACTGTACTGACCCGGTCGGTCAGTTTTATCTGGCTTGAGCAGCTTGCTACTCTGTTGTACCTATATTCTATGCATACTGTTGAACGGATTTTATGATCGCTCAAGAGAGTTTTGAAATACTAGTGTGAAGCGTCTTTTTGACAGCTCCTTGTTTGCATAGAGACAACAGCCCAAACATTATTGAGCGCCAGCAAGTAAGGTGGAGGGCTTTTGGTATGAATGGCTTTTCCGTGTGTAGCCACCATATACTGGCGTATCTTCTCGGGTTCATTAAGCATGAATAGATCACCGTAGAGGCTGTCTTTGGTGTTGACTATAGTATGTGCCTTTATATAATCTAGCCCCTATGCGATCTTATCTCTATCTAGCGCACGCTGATACATATGCTCAGCTTGCTCAACCTTGCCTAGCTTCTCGTAGACCCTGCCCAAGTTCGTAGCTGCGTTAAGTGTTGATATATGCTCTGGTGCAAACTCCTTCTCGAAGCCTTTGAGCGCTCGTTCGTATATCACTTCTGCCTCCCCGTATCTGCCCTGGCTCAACAGAACTGATCCAAGTTTACTTAAGGTCTTGAGAGTTTCTGGGTGTAGTAGCCCAAGCACCTTCACCCAGCCATCAACTGCTCGTCGGTACATCTCTTCTGCCTCTTCGTACTTGCCTTGTTGTTTAAGCACTGATCCAAGATTGGTGACGCTTGAAAGCGTGGCGTCGTGCTCGCGCCCAAGGATCTTCTCTTGTTTTTCGGGCACTTGTCGGTACGTCTTTTCTGCTTCTTCGTATTTCTTTCGGCCTTCAAGCACTTGCGCCAATCTGCGCATACTACCCAGCGTATAGAGATGCTCGTGACCCAGCACCTTCTTTTGCACCGCCAGTGCTAGCTCATGTATCATCTCTAAATCTTCAGACTCGGAAAGAGATACAATATCGCAACAATCCGCCGATATACTGACTTCAGCGCCCGCATCATGTTATGGCGCTGCCATTGCCAGAGCTCACTTACCCTGTTTGGGTATAGCGCCTTGGCTGGGATTCTGTACTTAGCCTCACCTCCCACAGTTCCGAGATAGACAACTTGTACTATATACTGTTTTGATACCTGTCCCTTTTGGCGGCCGTCCCAGCCCGTGACACCTTGTCTTCTTTTTGTTCTGGCGACGACAACAACAACAACAACAACAACAACAACAACACTGGAGGATACTTGTCTGATTTACAAAAGATTGCAGGCCATATCCATCGTTGTCGACGATTAGCAAAGATCAAGAAACCAATACGAGTCGCCATTCTTGATACTGGTTGCAAGAGGGATCTTGAGTTTTTCCAGGATCCCGAAAGATCCAAGCGGATTAAGGGCTGGAAAGATTTCACTACTAGTGAATCGAATTTTGAAACCGATTCGTTTGGCCATGGCACGTTCATCGCACGACTGCTTATGCATGTGGCACCAATAATGGATTTATACCTAATTCGTGTGGCCGAGAATACTCACATCTTACAAAACAGTCAGCAAAGCATTGCAAAAGTAAGGACCTGTAACCGTTTTACAAATTTTGCTGACAGCTCCGTGCTAGGCAATCGAGCACGCGGGATTAGATCTAGAATGGAATGTCGATATCATTTCCATGTACTTCGGGTACTACGATAAGCCGGGGATGAACCATACCGTAATCGATGAAGCGATTTAAAGGGTCAAAAAATATCGCAAGGAACAAGATTCTGTTCTTGCGAGTGCTGGGAATTCATGGTCGCAAAGGATATCTTTTCCTGCCAGTCACAAGGACGTCATTTCAATCTACGCTGGCGATTCGAAAGGTGTATTCCTGAATTCTAATCCAGCCCATACAGGCAAAAAGCTGGGTACTTATGGCAAGGACGTTCCGTCATCTATGGTCAACGAGGTGAAGAGTCACTTTCCAGAGGCGGATCTCAGCGCAGGGACGTCCATAGCCACCGCCATTGCCGCCGGCATTGTCGCAATGATGCTCTCTTATGCTGTAGCACTCCCATCGATAATGAAAAACAATGGGTTTGAGGAGATTCTTGCGAAAATATCCACGAAGAAGGGCATGGAGCATATGTTGGAAGCCATGTCACTTACTCGCCACGAAGAAGAGCACTTCATCAGTCCGATGTGGTACTGGGGAGAAAAGGAAAAAGACTTTGATATTTTAGTCTCTATATGCGGGGCGATTGAGCAAATGAACAAGCAGCTACAAGAGTGACGGTGGGCTTCACCATCGTAGTATTTCATGTCTGATTGCCCAGATCATCCAATCATGCTTTCGGGAGGAGATAAATACAAGTCTCATCTTCTCCAATTTGGGCACTCTCGTAATCAACCTCTTCTTCCAAATCCTCGTCGATCTCCTCCTTGGTGGCGTCCACAACCACCAGTGGGTCTTCTTTCTGTCCTCCTTCACCAGTCAAGAAGCCGCTTGTGTGAGAAAAGAGCTCTGTTTCCACCCCGGCACGACGGGTTCGTATGACATTAATTTAATAAGCAAACACGATCCCTGGGGCTGTATCGTAAGAATTCATTGCCGTCTTCCCGCTCTCATGTTTGATTTTGCCTCCAACTTCGACCGGAGTCGTTCCCGAAGCTGGGCCAGACCCTTCGACCTCGATGGACAAATTCGATGAGTCTTCCTCCGTGACAGTGAACGACGACGTCGCGATACGCAGCCCGGTCACTACGTACACGGCTCGCTTACCAAACATACCCGAATTGATCCGTTTCTGTACCGTTGGCAGGTTCGCAATCGTGCTTACTGTTTCGGCCATCAGAGGATCTACGAAGGTCCGGATCTTATGGTCCGTTGTACTGTAGTCTGTGATACGGCTCTTGCCTGTCTCCGTATTGGCCAACCCTGAGGCGAGCCCTTCGAACTTGGCCCACATCCCGACGCTATTGGAGCGCGACTTGGAGCGGTTGAAAGCCCGGTTGCGCTCTACGGTGGTTTTGACCGCGGGTAACGTGACGGCACTGCTGCTGCCAGAACCCATTTCCGCAAAGACGGTAGTGGGTCGAGACCATTGGGGAATCACCATGCTCAGCCGAAGTGGGCCTTCGGTTGTGAAGGTAAAATCGGAAGGGAGAAACCAGGTTCCGGGCATTACGGCTCTGCTGACTTAGAATGTTGAAGCTGGGATGATTCAGAAGTGCTCCTCTTCTGGCACTTGTGCTACCGTACGCAGAGATGGAGACGCCGAAACCAGCTCTTGAAATTAACTACTTGATATGAAATTTTAACTAGCCAATGAAGAACCGACAAGTGGTACACTGCTGCCTTGAGATCGTATCAATGGGAGTCCCCGCTCAGCCTCGCGCCAGCACTTGGGGGCACAATCGACGAGAGTAGCAACTACTCACCGATATCCTCTGACTTGACTAGCCATTTTCAGCACTAGGGCCGAAATTCGTAGATATGGGCACTAAATGACGTGCTAACCTTAACTGAACCTTTCCAATGTGAATGCCATTATTAAGCACTGCCATGCACGTGGGTGTATCAATTGCATGAGGCATTTCGGCCCAAAATTACCATACACTAATCTTCAAAATGAAAAAGCAGAACAGCGTACGAGCTAACCGCATTGCTAGGTGTGGCAATGCGCATACCCCGCATCGCGCTGCAATACCCACCTTGATTCAGCGGGACAGGACTCGGCCTACTGAGGGACGGATGGAGCTATTATATTTAGTAAAGCATGTAACGTTTTAATAATATTAGTGGGTGAGGACGCGCGCTATGGATATTGAATACTGTTCAGGCCATTGTTAAATCTACTAATGCTCGTAGACTTGCTGGTATACGGGCTAACTACAACGCATCCTACTTCTAGAAGACATTCAGCTTCTCAGAACGCAATCTTTTTATATTCTTATATAGACTAAGACAATGCAAGAAAAAATGATCAAAGATAGAGTGTGTCTGAAGTAGTCCAAAGTAACAGCATGAAGTAGCCTTGTAGCTTCTTGTTGTAATCGGAAGTCTCATTAAACCTAGCGCATAAGAATCTATGACACAAAAAGGGCAGTGAACAAGAGAATTGGGCTGTATATAGTCGTGTGCGATGGATATTTTTACTCATGAAAGTGCTATTATCATCGCTTACTACCGGTACAGCGAAGCCTGAACTAACTACTAACTAGCTACGAGGATGCTAGTCCGTCACGGGAATGAAGTGACACCCAGAAATTGCGCCTTGATTATGTAGCTGCTTATTGTTATGTAGAAGTCTGTGGAAAGGTGAAAAAAAAAGAGATTAGATCTTTGTCAGCGGAGATCGGACCTTGGTCTCCCAGGATGAATCAATTACTTCGCAAGTAGAAATACTAACCACTACGTCACTGAACCATCAACTACATCACAAATTTTATTTTCCGTTTGAGGGTACAGTATAGAATTGGTAGTACGTAAAGAGTAGAGAGTCTCCTTATACCGGCAGTTGAACTTCGCACCCATCTCTGATTCCTTCAAGCAACTGTGCTCTTTGCTACAAGCGATATGCACGCCCCCTAAACGCAACCCCGGATGGAACCTTAACTTATTTGGTGCATCCGCTGCATCCGCACTCTCCGCAGCCGCCGATGCTGCAAGCCTGGTTGCGGTTGCAGTCATTGGATGAGCCACACGAAATCCACTGGCCACTGCCACCATTGTGGGCAGTCCAGCACCAGTTACCACTGCCACATTCCTTCCAGCACCAACCCTTAGCAGAGCAGCCATAGCTGTTGGCTCCCTGGCATTCACGCTTGAGGAGGTTTCCGCTTCGGAGGCTGCGTGGGTTGCGAGAGTTGGTACCCACGAGCTGAACGTCAGAACGTTCAACGTCAGCATGGCTTGGGCGATTCTCAGAGAGATCGAGCACAGCCTCGCCAACAACGGGGGCGCTCTGCTGCGCAGCGGCTCCAAGAGCAAAGAGGAAGGGGACGAAAGTGGTGAACTTCATTGTTGCCTAAGGGGGTGTTAGGAAATGGGGGTATAGAGATAGGCTCGAAGACTTGCTTGAGGTTGGTTGAAAATTGACTTTCAAGGTTTTCGTTTGCGTGTGCGATTGATTGTTGACCGTAGGCTGATGGATGCTGTCTGGATGCTTTCCAAATTCGAGGAGAATTGTATGCCTTTTATACATCAACTCAGGCTTCTCTTTCGTTTAGTCACATGACGAGTCTTTTTAATGTACGCTCGAAGACTATGTCACTTACTACCTTTCTTTGGAAAGTTCTCGGGATATGATTCTTGAAAGGGCTAATTCAAACATCAGTATACTGAGGATTTGGTACGCCTAAAGAAGAAGTAAATTAGGTTTCTGTGTTGGACCCCGAGCGACGAATCAAACACTGATTATTTTGCTCCAACATGCGGATCTCATATTCCTGGTGTAGGATTTCAGCACTGACTGTGTCTCCAAGACGTTCCTGATGATAGATGCCCGTACATATCGCCTATTAGGTCTTAGTGCCGTAGGTAGTATACCCCGCAAATAGCTACCTGCCTTCCAGATAGCCCGCCTTGCAGATGGTCGCCTAACGATCGTCGTATGATTGAAGTAACAGCATAGCGAGTGGCTCAGCATGGCCAGTAGCTCACGATGCTAAGACCCCGCACAGCTTTGATTGTTACCTGCTTACTACACACAATACCACAACATCCAGGTAACCTGAACGTTGTAAAAGAGGCTTGATCGTACTGTGTATGTAAGGATCTGCGCTCCGTGCAGCAAACACTAACTATATCGGTTCTTAGGATTCGACCCTGAATCCTAGCCAAGATCGCCAAGTCTCAGGCCGCCGCGCATCCGCGGGTTCGGTCCGTGAATTTAACCGTTCGTATCGCCAATCTAGCCATCTAGGCCGCATACTTGGGGTCCAGTTCATGTAACACACGGGGTTGGGGTATAGATCTTTGCTTCTTTAGTGTCGGTCCTGGCTCAGGTGAGGCCGTTGGAAGTAGTGATCTGTGAGGTTGCGTGGCAGTTCTGGTTCAAAAGAGTTGTAGGATTTAACCGTCAAGACAACTCATCTCACAAGATAGACGCGAAGGCTCTTTCCACTATTAAATATGCAGGTTGACACATATCTTCTCGTGTTCTTTCTCTATGATTATCCGCACCTGCGTTACTCACATGTGCATCTCTGCTTTACCCAACTCTATATGTTGAAAGTCAAGGCAGCCTGGGTGACTTTTGTGTGACAATCAACACCGCTCACGTCAACGCTGGCTATGCAGTATCACCTTAAATCTACCATGGTTTCCTCAACCGAAGTCGTACAACGACACATGAGGCACAGCGTGCATTACCTCGGTTACATCTGAGCCGAGAATGCCGTATTTTCCTCTCATTGATGTAGAGCTATGATGTTTGCTTACAATGGCATCGCTCTCTCATCCCTACTTTTCTCTCGGCTGTGCTGTCATCCCAACCATAGTATCTCGTTGGCCAAGTTACTTCTATCATTCTCACAATCTGACATTCATTTTAATCTGGCATTTGCTATGTACAATTGTGCGCAACCTTTAAACCTCACGCTGTACATTCCGTACAATCAACATTATCACCGCCAGTATCATGAACGAGAGATTTTCGCGTTATTGAAGACATAATATGCCCAAGAATAGGTCTACTCAAAGGATCACATCAATTCCCGCTGTTTTAGAGTGAGAGATTTTATGCCAGTTAGCGTAAAGGACTACGGGTGTCTAGAACCCTGCATGCCCAGCAGCGACGCACCCACTTCCTGCAGCTACCATATCGCTTTTCTCTCCCTCCTATGATACTGTCTGGGCTTTCGCATTAGCTCGTATCAAATTCCATCTTTCCCATTCGTTTTTAAAGATATGCTTCCGATAATCAGGCAAGCATCCAATCAGAACAGATACCACTGGACAGTTCTGGCTTGCATGCTCCCCACTCAGCATGATCCTTTTGATGTCAAAAGCATTTTGAATAATTCGCATCCTCTCTAATGTCGCCATGATGCGCTTCCAGACTCCTGCAGCTTGTTATACTTTACCTGGGAAAGGGCACCCTTCTCTTATCTCTAAACTGCAATGGGGAGTCAAAGGTTATACTATAGATATTTTTGGGCATTTCGTATGCTCTCAGGGGTTTACGGCTCAACCACAGCACGAAATGCCCTATTGTGGAAGTACCTTGGCTATGTTGTAATCAGCCCGACATCATTCATCAGATGGATAACGATTATGGTTATATTAGGATGTGTAATTTTATTTTAGCATTGTTGGTTCATTTATGACGAATCTTACGATCCAGAGCAAGTAAGATGGGGCGAAAGCTTGTCTGATAGAGGTGTGTATAGAGTAAAAGCTTAAGCGCTGGGCATTTCCCAATGAGAGAGATCTCGCCAAATTGCCTTGTATTAACAATGTGACTGCGCATCAAAATTGTATTGAACTTGGTATGGATTTACAATTATATACTTTAATCTATCGCAAAAATATATTAATGATAAAATTCTGTAAAAAGCAGGCGTGCACGAAAAATATAATGGAAACGCTAAGAGATCTTGACCTTAGTAGCGTGCATTTGTCATCTCAGATCCATCACAGGCGTTGCCTGCTAAAGCAAATTATTCCGGCAATATTGTAACAGATATATGACAGTATTCATTGTCTAAGTAACTGAATTCGATTGCACACCAGAAATGAGCGTCGTGACACATTCGCGCTCTTTATGCGCAGATTTGGTGCAGCTATACCGTTTAGATGAGAAGCGCGCAGAGAATAGGATTAGGAGGATCAGGAAACCATAGCGCTACGCGTTTGTCGTAGATACGCAGCTTCAAGCTCCGTTGGCTTTGTTTATCATCTTTACCATACTATCTTCCTTAGAACGATACTTGAGTTTGAGTGATGAGGCTGAAGTTTCTTGAAGTCCGGCCTTGTAGATATAGATCTAGTCAAACATTTAGGTTCTCTGTGGGGTGCAGATATCATTCCGCGGAACTACATATACAATTGGACACAGTCATGTGTTCGAGGTAAGTGCAGCCTGGACTTACATTTCTGTTCTGGGATATATTGGCCATTCAGTGGTAGCCAGGAAGATCGCAGAAATATACTTTGTAGGCGCCGCATCAATTTCAGCTTACTTCAGACGCCTTTAAGCCTTTTCTATCTCTAAATGCCCTTGAAAAGCCAACTATAGCCTATTGGTGACGATCGGTGTTTTGAAGTAGCATCGCGGCGCTTAATCATCAACGCTGAGTGGCCTTGCGTTATATCAACCCCGTCCTAAGGTAATGTGGCTTGCAACCTCACCTCGTTACTGTAGAATGCGCTGTGTTGCTACGCTGAGCACAGCCCCCACCATATGCGAGATTCTCAACCGACCATGATTGATTGGATCGTCAAACATTCGCCTCATTTTAGCCGCATTCATCGATACCTGCCGTATGCTTGTGACACCCAATGCAGCTGCAACTGCTGCCTGCCAGCCTGGTCCTTGAGGCGAGACTGATAAGTCCGATCTCTCCCCTAGCATATACTTGTGATTCGAAAGTCATCTCTACATTTTCATAACATGAACAATACAACGCTGACAGATTTCCTAACGCCGATCGGCGATGGCTCCTCGTGGGCAGCGAAGTGTGTACGCCGCCTTCTCGAGGCCGAAAACCTCACGGAAATAGCTGGGGGTCTGGTCGCACAGCATGGCCGCAAGCCCGTGACATTTGTCAAGGACGCATGGGATGCATGGGGTATTGATATGGAGACTTGTCATGCGTACTGCGCCAGGCAGAACTTTCCTATGGTATTGTCATCCCCTTACCAGCACACTTAACCGGAGGTACCGGTTTATGGAGTTTCCACGCATAATTTGAGTTTTAGAATTCGCGCTGTATGATTTCAACGCTAAGTTTTACCAGGTCTTTGATTTTCCAATCTTCACATCGGGTGTGACAAACTACCTCCTACCTTGGCTCGGTCTGACGGCGCAACTACCGTACGAAACGGGTTCCATATCTGAGAACTTTGAGAGCTTCTGCCTCGCGGTCGGAAGTCCGATGTTATCTACCTTCTCTCTTATGTCGACAGCTCTCAATGCCCATTCCACATCGTTGATATTCGCAGCCAAATTCGGTAACGGTAAAACTAAATCACCTTTGAGTGAGGCAATAGATGCGGCGGAGTACTTCCTTTGTAACTCTCAGCAGTCTCCCATCAGAATACAAGAAGATCAGTTCCAAAAATTGTTTGAGGAGGATACCGAGCGGTTGCGTGATCGATGGCTACCCCTCGAAGAGCGTCTCCATAAGACTCGCCGGCAGTACACCTTCTCCCTCTTTGCGCAGACCTTTTTTGCAGTCATTGCTTGGGTTTTGACCATTGTTGGATCGTACGTTACATCGCTCGGTCAGCATTCCGAAGCTCTTTTGCTCTCCTCCGGCACGCTTTGGACTTGGTTAGTTCCGGTAGTCTTGGGTTGGATGGCTGTTGGGACACAATCACGAAAGGACGCCGTCCGAGAAGCAATACAAGGCGAGATATTAAGTGGAAAGTCTGCCCCAATAAAAGCACTAGAAGTCGAGTCTGGCTTCATAAACCCGCCGAAGCTGAAGCAACTACATCATGCCCTGTGGAGTAGTGTGCAAGGAGACGAAGCACACCAGGGCCCCGCTTACAATTATGCACGCATATTGACGTATCCAAAACTACGAGACAGAATCGTTGATGAGTTCGAAAAAAGGCGCGATTTGCAGGATGCACAGCAAGTTCGAGCTGATCCTTCTGATCCTGTAGATCAGGTTCACCGAACTAACACGACCCCGGTCGCAGTCGGCTCATCTCACTATATTGATGAGCCATACATGACTTGGAAGGATGTTAAAGAGAGTTCTGATTGGAAATGGAACTTCATAATCTCCAATATTGTCGCCGTATTTCTTCAGTGGGGCGTCACTGGGTCGGCCATTGTCATATCATACCTGACAGAGGTGCGCGGTCTCGGATGTCGCTCTGGGAGTTATCTACTATACGGCATCCTCGCAACTTCCGCACACGTTCTTCTGCTGATATCTGTTGTCCTTTCACACCACGTAATGCTTATATATCAAAAAGAGCGACGGAACAGAGCAGTAGGTGCAGCGCACGAAGTTCCACGAAGTCCTCAGATCAAATGGGTTGGTAGACTTGCCGTGCTTATGCGGTTAGTTGGTAAATCTGTTGCAGTTGTCAATGCCACCTGGATCATCTTGAGTTCTATATTCGAGCTGATCGGTTTCTATGAAAGCTGCTGGTGCACTGGAACTGTCTTGGGGCTAGGTAACAGGGCTTGGGTTGTTCTCTTTGTGAGTGGTGACAAGATGAGAGATGACGCTGAAGCCTCTTGGATCGGTGGACTTACCATGAGCTTATTTACAATGATCTTTACTTACATTCTTACTAAGTCTTATGCCCAGAGCAAAATGTAAATATCCCTAATACTTTTATTAAAGCCAGATGATTAGTAAACAAAACATGATTCTCACTAATACTACTATGCGGTTATGGCTCACACATATTGACTTTTGATTCAGCGCAATATAGATGAAAGTCAGACAGATAACTTGTCGAAGTATCATCAAAAATCTTTTGAGGCAAAAATAAACAAGACTATGTGATCTCCAGCAGCATATTAGCATCAATGTTTCACGATAACTGGCTTGGTGATACTTGGAGTTCACTTTTCATACTGATCAGCTTATGAAACCAACCCTTCCTATTCCTCAGTCAAGTGCGCTTATGCTCCTCAAACCTGCTACCTTATCAATCATATCTTTAGTAGTTTCAGCTATAATGTTCACATGTGTGGGTGCTAGCTTTTTCCCTCTTCCACGGCAACAGCGACGTAGGCCAGATAGGTAATTTCATGACGATTCTTGCGGTGTGGCTTGCGCGCGAAGATCCTGCCAATCAGTTTCTACGCGATGAAACCCGGGGTTGTATTATTACTTAGAGATACATATAACACTTGAGCTTTTACACGAGGTCTGTGAACAAGGACTTAAAGAAGAAACATATCATCAAGCCTGGATTCGCTTCATGGTCATTCTTGCATCTGATGCGACCTCCTGATCAAGATGATACGAGCCCATCTTCCTTGGAGGAATAAGAGCCGCAAAAAGCATATCAATCTCACGATTTGTACGCCCCTTGAGTTCTGGGACATAGATCCATGCACCGAGAGTAGCAATAGCGGCAAGGCCGCCAAACACAAAGCCGACCTTACCTTTTAGATTTCCTTCGTCCGGATTAACCATGTATGGAATGGCGATATTCATAATAATTCCGAGAATAGATTGAGTGGCGGTGGCAAGAGCGGTGGTGTGGGCTCGAAGTCCCATGGACGACGCCTCTCCGAGAAGCACAAATGCCATGGCGCCGATGGTCATAAAGTATAGAAAGGCATAAATGACAGTACAGGAAGCCTGTACCCACTTTGAAGGACCTATCCGAATAACGTCCATAATTCCAATCAGCAATAGGAGGGTAGTGAGTGCAGCCATGCCACCAATGAATACTTTACGTCGACCGTACGTGTCGACCACGAACCAACTAGTAATGTTGCCTGCTACACCGCAAGCTGTGATGCCAACACCGAGATCGAAAGATCGACTGGTATCTAAACCAGCAAGTTGGAAGAAGTATGTCGAGAAACCGAGGACGAAAACGATGCCGGCAAAATGTTGGCAAGCAAAAACACCAGTTGAGATGCAGCTCCGAACCAGGTTGGTACCTCGGAAACAATCGAGAAACCTAGACTCTTTCTGGTTGTTCTCTTCTGAGATGGTGGTCTTAAGAGCCGCAAGTTTGTCCTCAACGTTAGTATCCTTGCCCCAAAGTTTCTGTAACGCACGGAGGGTCTCGGTATCTTTCCCATTTCTGACTAGGTACCATGGCGATTCTGGCGCGAAAGGCAACCCACACATGAGGAATAGACAGAAGAACAGTTGGATAGCGAAGGGTGCAGCATACGCCCAGCGGTCAGTCCTTTCGCCAAACGCCTTTACGACAGCATTGGAGAGGAGCTGGCCGATAGCTATTCCGAGGTTGATGCCGGCCGTTGAGATACCTCGAAGAACGACGGGGGCAATCTCACCACAAAAAAGTGGTCCTATGGTGAGATAGAATCCAAGTCCAACGCCGAGAATGAGCTTCGATGCGAGAAAGGCGCCCTTGTTCGGGAAAACATTTCTCCAAAGGCACCTCCGGTACACAGTATAATACCACACATCAGTGCTGTACGGCGACCCCATTTGTCCGCAAGTGTGCTACATGCAAAGCCACCGAATAGCATGCTGACTGAGCTGATCATGTTGAAGGCAGTCTGCTAGCTGGCTGGCAAGATTGATTCACTGTCGAGAACGTATCCAAAATCCTTTCGAAAGGAGGCAACGGAAATCATGGCTCCGTTAATCTGAGCATCAAACCCCCTATCTGGTAGTCAGCAACTTGGTTGATAACACTCTTCCTTTCCTCCTACGATCCGACGGCACATATCGACCAGAAGAAGGACCAGCCAATAAGGGCGGGGTGTTTCTTGAAGACTTGTCCCAAAGTAAGCTGATGCTCATTGATGTTGTCAACAGTGGCTGCTTGGGCAGTCTTGCTGGTTTCTCTAAAGAGTTCCTCATGATAGGTGGTAGATGCAGGCTTTTTCATCCTGAGGGCAAGACGAGTTGTGTCCTATGATGATAATGACGAGGTGTAGGCAAGAGTAATGAGCATCGTCAGCGACAGTCAGGTAAGCAGTATATATAGACATATCACTGCTGTAGATAGGACTTGAGAGTATAAGGTCACATAAAGCAAACAAACTGACCACCTTGTCGGGTACGGCAGTTCTGGTCGACCCCATGCATTGGAACCGAAGCTGGGGTAATGCGGAGGGCGATACTCCGCGACGTACATGCCCATGCTTTAAGCGTTAGACCATATCTAGTTTTAGATCGTGACTTTTATTGGCTAGACTCTGTGTCTGAGGCTTGGGATAAATGACTAGTGGGAATGTTTTGCTCACGTGCCAGCCTAAAAGGCCCAAACGATCTTAAGAGCGACATTCCGCGACATCTCCTCCGACCAAGCTGTGCCTTCATCGTTCCGCGATCGCTAACAACCAGTATGAGCTCATGTCACCAACAGTCGACAACTGTCTCGACCTCCATGCCTTCCGTTGTCACGGCTCAGAAAAGACCTGCCCCACGTGGATCCGCCTCATATCCCCGCAAACGCGCAGTCAAGGCATGCCAGGTCTGCCGGTCGCGAAAAACTAAATGCGACAACGCGAAGCCAGCATGCTCATTTTGCGTCAAGGTCGGAGCGACTTGTATTCAGACACCGGTTGATCTATCCAGCTTTGACCCGGCTAGTCTACAGATCTTACAGCGACTCGACGATCTGGAACAGCTTGTTCGCGAGGGCAATCCTGATACCTTCGATCATTCCATTGCCATACCAAACCAGTTAAGTGAGAGCCTTCATCCAGCTCAACTGCTGCCATGTCCTATAGATTCAATTCTAGAATGGATAAGCTTGAGAGAACTGCTACCACAACCACTAAACGGTCCGGCATTTCTGTGCATCAAGAAGTCGGTATAAATGACAGCATCTCCGCCACTCTCGGGACTAGATGAGTTTGAGCCTCACCGGGTCCGATCTCTACTCGACAATTTCTTCAATTTTGTTCATGTGAAAAATCCCGTTCTAGATGAACAACAGACAAGGAGAACTGTGAATCGGGTTTGCCTCCATGGCATTGACTGGTCACCGGATGCTTGTCTTTCGTTGTTGATTTGTGCACTCGGTACAATAGCCACTCCCCTGGATGGCGGGTATGTGCCTCGTGATTCAGAGGCTTATATGACGGCCGAGTCTTTCTTTTTAACTGCGAAGAAAAGATTGGGGTTGATTTTGGGCACATCAAGCCTTATTGAAGCTCAATGCATGTTCCTTGCAGTAAGTAATGTTCGGAATTTAATACGAGAGAGGTACTAACCCAGTCTAGGGGGTATACAGCATATGTAAGTCGTCTCATGATGAACCAGATCAGAAACTTACATCTAATACTGCCTAACTAGGCACTTTTGATAGAATGGCAGCTTGGCGTTACTTCATGCAATCATTAGCTTGCTGCCGGACCTTCCAATCGCTGATAGGGTTTAGACGAGAATATGGAGACCAGCTGGATGAGGCCGGCCGTTGGTCAGCAGCTGCGGAGCAAGCAATATATTGGTCCGCTTGGAAGTCGGAGCGTGAGGTAAACCAAGAACTCAACTTGCCCGGCTTCTTATTTTCCGAACTTGACGCTGGATATCCGCCATTATTCCCTACACCACCGAGCCACGATAGCGATGCTACGACGTTACATGCTCTGAGACAGAGACGCGCGAACACACTTCTTGGTATTTCTACCTTTCTGAGATATCGCTATTGCGTCTCCGGCGCCGCATGGCCAAAGAGATCAAGGAATCGACATCACAAGTCGGCCAGAGTCATATCGACAGACTTGCTCAAGAAGTCGCGGACCGTGAAGCGCAAGTCTCGGATTGGGTTTGCGCATCACCTCGAAATATGTCTATAAACAACCCACCCGAAGAAGACGATGTATGTCGATTTGTTCTTCGTGGTCACCTGATTAATGTTTGGGAAATTATCTACTGGCCATTCGTTGAATGGGCAATAAATTCAACCATTGTCATGGAGGACGAACCATTGTTGAGGGAATATGCAATGAAAGGTCTGCAAATCCACATGGAACGCATTCGTGTCAATCGTGCCGGATTCGCGCACCGACATCATGGTACCTTCTACCTGATCAAGTCTTGTACTCAGAGTGCGCTCATTCTCCTGGCTGCAGCGAGAAGCCGCAACTTTGTAACAGACCAGGCTGAGAATTCGCTCCACGTCCCCATTGGGTGGCAGAGTGCCGTTAAAGAAGTCATTCACTTGCTAGAGGCTTGGGAACAGGAGTCGGCAGATCTATCCAGTATGGCCAATACTCTCCGCCTCATGTATCGGAATTATGAAGGAACGACCTAAGCTTAGCTGCTTAACTACGTTAGACATTCCTGGTAAGGTATCGCGTCGCGGAATATCGCTTTTATCTGAGCTCCACATGATCTCACTAAAGGATAACCCATTCGGAACCCTGACTCGGGAACTGACCCTAACGAATGAGCTTCTCTACTGTGCTTGCGGTCCAATCAGGTCGACCTTACTGTATCAGGACGATCCTCCACACCTCCACACCTGCGGAGTGTCGAACTTTGTCTCCATGGCCTTGTCTTAGGAGCTTATAATGCCTTTTACTTGTCCCCCACATGCTGAGTGCTTTGCGTTCTTTTAAGAGGCTTGAACATCTCGTCGACTTTCTGTATCCAACAATCTTTTTCCACTTGAACTCATAATACAGCCAATCTACTAATTCGAGTATTCTCCTTCCACAATGGCAATCCACACACCCAACCCACCCTGTCAGCCTTTGCGCACATCGGGGGAGGCAATTGTCAATGCTGCTGGACAGCGCGTTGTGCTCAAGGGGACAGCTCTCGGTGGATATTCGAACATGGAGAATTTCATTACCGGCTATTCTGGTCATGAACATGAGCACAGGGCAGCACTTGCTTCAGTTCTAGGCAAAGAAAAGGCACAATTCTTCTTCGACCGCCTACTGTACCATTTCTTCACAGAAGCTGATGCAGAATTCTTTGCATCGCTTGGTATGAACTGTATTCGTATCCCGTTAAACTATCGCCACTTCATTGACGACCAAAATCCAACCCATTTCAAGAAGAAGGGATTCGAATTGCTTGACCGCGCTGTCAACATTTGTGCAAAATACCACTTGTATGTCGTCCTCGACCTTCACGCTGTTCCGGGAGGTCAGAACCAGGACTGGCACTGCGACAGTGGTTTGAACAAGGCATTATTCTGGGACTTTCGCGTTTTCCAAGACCAAGCTATCGAGCTATGGATAGCCATTGCTGCACACTACAATGGAAACCCTGTGGTCTGTGGTTATAATCTCCTGAACGAACCAGCGGATTCCCAGCATGTTCGCTTGATCTCATGGTATGAGCGTGCGGAGAAAGAGATCCGAGCTGTAGACCCAGAAACAATACTTTTCATCGACGGCAACACATACGCAATGGACTTTACCTGCTTCCAGAATGTGCTTTCTAACTCCGTCTACGCATGCCACAATTATGCAATGTTCGGTTTCCCAATTCCAGGACAGCCTCTCTACACCGGAAGCGAAGACCAAAAGAACAAACTCATACGACAATTCGACCGGAAGATGTTGTTCATGCGAGAAAAGAAGGTTCCGATCTGGAATGGTGAATTCGGTCCAGTATATGCAAATGAGCATACCGACCCAGAGGCAGCGAAAACCAACAGTTCGCGTTATCATATGCTGCAAGATCAGCTCGAAATATACGCACGGGATCAAGTATGTTGGATTATTTGGCTCTACAAAGATATCGGTTACCAAGGCATGACGTATGTTGGCCTAGACACGCCATGCATGAAGCTCATCGCGCCCTTTGTTGCCAAAAAGCAAAAGCTTGCTCTCGACTTTTGGGGCGTCGTTGACAAGGATGGTGTCAAAGACGTATACGAGCCATTCATTGCAGGTCTGAAAAACATGGTCCCCGAGCATCTGCAAAAGAAGATGTACCCCAATACCTGGATATTCGATAGGCAGGTAGAGAGAGCCGTCCGAGAAGGCCTTATGAGCGAGTATCTTGGTTGGGAATTCGCTGATTTATTCGAGGGTAAGACTGAGGAAGAGCTCGAGGAGTTGGCAAAGAGTTTTGCTTTCGAAAACTGCATCAAGCGTGATGGGTTGAACATGATCTTGCAAGAAGATGGCCGTAAGACAGCAGCACCCTGAATTTGGGAGTACTAGAAAGCGTCAAATAGAGAATTTACGAGTTTTTGCCAACTTCACATCTATCAAGTAATGCATGTCATCCAGGGTGATTCACTTTTCATCATGCTTGAGTGATGAAAGAACTTCATATGCACCTATTCTTTCACTAGGCCAGCAACCTTTTCATGACTTTCATGACCTTCTAATTCCTCATCGTCTGTTGGTGATTGCCCAATGACGCTCCCCCATTCTATACCGAGACTGGCTAGCAGAGTTAGGCATGACAATCCAAGGGCAAGGTACCATATAGACCGTATGGCGTCATTGTATGCGAACAGAACCGCTCCCAATTGTCCAGCTGGAGCATCTTCCCTCACGGATATCGCCCCACTGGAACCGATGCCCTTCAAATCGGTGTCAGGTAGAATTGGCTCCAACAATTTGGCCAATTTGCTCTGCAGCAAGGCCTGTCCCACGGTGACGAAGACTGTAGACCCTAAGAAATTGGCTTGGTTGATAACCGCGTATCCGATCGATAAATCCTGCTTGGCGAGGACTGTTTGAGCTGCGATGTTAGGGCCCTGAAGCGCGAGGCCGAGGCCAATCCCTACTACGATCTAATGTTTCTTAACAAAAAAGCATTCGTGATGATTGAAGTATAGGTCGTGCGTACCTGAAATCCAATCCATTTCCCGCTTCCGACATCAACCGACCACGTGGACATCAGGCCGGAACCTACAATCACAATCGCAGCGCCAACCAGAAGTGGGGGTAGATAGTAACCTATTTTGCTGGTCACAACACCACTCGTAATGACTGCAACTACCACGCTGAGGAGGAGTGGTATCAGCGACAGTCCAGAATCCTGCGGCGATTTGCCTTGCACTACCTGAAACCATATCGGCAGGTAGAAGGCAAAGAGGACAAGAACGGAGCCAATGCCAAGACTAGCTATGGAACCTGCGAAAATGCTGCGTTGCGATATGATCCGGGGAGGTATTGTGCCATTTTCACCTCTCCAAATCTGAAATCCGACGAACGCGATGGCAAATGTGCCAGAAATGACAAACAATGCGATGATAACGCCACTGCCCCATGCATACTCGTTACGGCCAAACTGAATGGCGAGCAACAAGCACACGAGCGACGTTGCGATCAGAACGAAGCCTAACGGATCGAGCTCGAAAAACTTGTCTCTCAAGGTTATTGCTCGTTTTGCTGGTGGTGGACAATTCGGTGTGAGTAAGACCAAGAGTACTATAGAAATCACTCCAACAGGTAGGTTGATCCAAAAGCACCATCGCCACTGAAATTGTGAGCAGAATGCTTCAGGTGAGACTACATGGGGATACACACCGTAATTGATGTGAGGTAGCCTCCAAGGATAGGTCCCAATATCGAAGTTATACCAAAGACGCTTCCAAGACTTCCAATGTACTTTGGACGGGACTGCATCGGAACAAGGAAGGTGATCAACAGGAAAGCACCCGGCGATACGCCCGCTCCCCCTATTCCTGAAATAACTCTTCCTACGATCAAGGCCTTGGATGATGGCGCTGCTGCGCATATGATCGAGCCGACTTCGAAAATGGCAATATTGAGTACCATGGTCCATTTCGCGGAGTAGTAGCGGTAGATGCGTCCGAAAGAAAGTTGAAGCACGCAGAATGGAAGGAGGTACCCCGATTCGTACCAGGCTATATCCCCAAAACTCTGAAATTGTTGCGAAATGGTTGGCACAGCTGTACCGATGATTGTTCGATCCTGCGAAAAATGTCAGACAGTCAATGTCATCATAACGTTAAAACACTGACCAGAGCCACGACGAAGAATGCAAGCCAGATGGCAATCATCGCCGTAAAGACGATCTTGAATGGTGGGTACGCTTTCTCGCCATGTTCTGTTGAAGTTTCCTCCCTGTCTGTTTTCGACATATTAGTCATGGTCGAAGGTGTAAAATGGCTGGGTCTGCTTAAGATGCATGTGAGCTTTTCCTGTAGTCGAAGGAACGGCCGTCTTATGTATTCAATGAAAAAAGCTGTAGAAAATATTTTGCACACAACGGCCTCCGTCTTCATCAAGAGACAGTGCTGTGAGTTTGATTGGGGCGCCTAACAGATGCTCGGGGGCGGGACCGAGACCGAGCTTTCGGTGATCGCATCACTCCGAACACTTTACACCGCACACCATGACATACAGTCAAGCTTGCAGACCATGCGCAAAGCGCAAAGTTCGGTGCGACAAATTAGAGCCATGTTCGAATTGCAAGCGCCGAAAAACTGATAAATGCACGTATCCTCCCCGTACCCCCTCGGATCGCATTCGAGAGCTCGAAGGCCTTGTCCGCGAGCTCGTTCACTCCGCACCCACTGATGGCGCGTCTTCATCACGTGATGGAAATGGCACGCAGCAAGGCACTCATGCCATATCTGGAATCAGGAGCAATGATCCGATTCTGGTAGAAGAGGATGGCACAGTGCAATATCTGGAGTCGTGAGTGCATTAACGCCCATGAAATAAGCATCGCTAATAATTTCTAAAGGCGTTCCTGGAGGCCTTGGAGAGCAGATAGCGGGCCTGATCAAGGGATGCGACCTCCAGGAGACTTTACCACGATATCACCTCCCAAGTTGCCGCATGCACTAGCGGGCGTTCTGCCTAGCCACAACGCCCCTACCATTGCAAATCCACCAGTTGATACACATCGGGCCCGTGTTCTGTGGGATACATTCAAGGAACGCGTCGAGCCTTTGGTCAGGGTTGTATTTCGATGGCAAATAGACAACCTGATGAGTCGAACAATGTGCGCCGATTCTACGCCACTCTCAAACCTTGAGCAAAGCCTTGTCAATGCTATTTATTACGCCAGCGCCAATAGTCTCACTGACGACCAGTGTATGATGCTTCTGCAAATACCAAAAAGTACTCTTCTTTCCCATTGCCAAACACAGTGCGAACAGTCTCTTCTTGGACCAGATCTCTTTTGCGTTACGGATATCTTGACAATTAAGGCGGTCATATTTTACATCGTAAGCTACCAGCCACACATGACAGCTCATGAAACTGACGAGAATAGGTCGCAAGTATAGGCCGACTCAGCACGCAAAGTTTATGGTCCATCATTGGCATGACTTTGCGCAACGCAGAGAAGCTAGGACTACATCGGGATGGATTGCTACTCGGTCTTGCACCAATTCACGTCGAAGATCGGCGACGCGTTTGGTGGCAGCTCCAGCACCTTGACTTGGCCTTAGCTGTAAGGATTGGCCTTACTCCGATGACTTTATCAGCTGGCTGGGATGTGGAGATGCCTTCGAACATTGAAGATGATGATATCACACCGACATGTACCTCAATCCCACGGCCCAGAACAGGATTGACAGCCATATCATACTGTCTTTTCACTTACTGGGTTCTCAAACAGCAAAGGCAGACCTTTCTCGCCAAATACGGCCATTTCGAACTGTCTTGGCAGATCAACAGTAAGGTTAAAGAGAGCGCTAAGGACGACATGATGACTCAACTGGAAGCTGGGATTAACATAGAATTTCTACAATACTGTGACCCCATCAAGCCTTTGGATGTAATTCTCCAGCTATTCGCAAGACTCTTCATCACTTCGATGCATCTCAGGATCCTCCATGGCCGAGTATTCTCCGGAAAGGGTGATGATCGCCCAAAGCTTCTCCAAGCATCCACACAAACCTTACGGTACAACATCGCTATCCAAAGTCAACCGTCTTTGATACAGTTCCGATGGATGAGCAAGGCATGGTTCAACTGGCAAGCATGTAAGTTCAACGCGACACATCGGACCTAAGATGCTGACGGTGGCAGTCATGTGTGTTCTCATCGAAGCCCGAGACGCTACCGACATGATCCGGGCACAAGAACTATGGAAACTCATGCTAGAAGTGTATGCGGCGCATGACGAGCTGCTTGATTTTGCTAGGGATCGAAGAAGGATACAAGCAGCAGAAATTATCCTTACAACATGGCATAGTCACAAAGAGAAATTTGCGGGTCACAGTCCTGACAAGCCAGAAATGCTCTCCAAGCTCTCGCTTGAACTAGCCACGTACCGCGCAGGCTTGGAACCTCTCGCTGAGCCAGCTATACGCAGGGCTGGGAATGCCTCATTGGCTCCAGATACGCTGGTCGAAGGAATTGCGATTGAACAACATTTTTCATTTGACCTGGACTTTCAAGATGTCGACTGGAGTTTTTGGGACAGCATGGAGTAAACCTCCCGATATCACTTCCAGAACTTGCTCAAGCGGTCTTTGACTGTCAGCTGAAGTTTTCCGTAGGTAATGGTTGTACATGCTGCGCCCTTACAGTTGAAACCGGCAAAGCAGAGATCGATGTGAAAAACATATCTCACGTATCTGACGTGCTGACTGTCTACACTGGAATTGTCATCGGCCAAGACAGCGATATCATTCGCCTCGTGCACTATACCACTCAAAAATGACCTAAGTGTTCTCCATCGTGGCTGAGCCTGAGGGCGCACTAGTGCATCGCTGGAATCTGTCTGATGTACCTATTATTAACCGAATTCACAAGTGGTCCGTTCACCACGGACCAGGAATTTGAGAGAAGGCTTTGCCACCATGAACTCCTTAGATACCGCTAAACACCTTAGCGGATATGCAATTCAGACCAAAGCTCACATGGCTCACCCCCTGCAGACACCTGTTGTCTATTGTTCTGCACGGTTATCATTAGATATGGCTATCTGGAAAACATCATCTTTGCTTGAACAGAGAATTCAATGGCTCATATATTGGTGAAGTACTCTACTAGACTACAAGCCGCGATTGGAGTTGCAAGCACTCTTTTCACCAACGACCGCTCGCGCCTATCTACAAAAGTTCCTCCAGGCTCACCCTCAGCCAAATGAATTTCATGAGCGTATAGAGGCACCATGACGTCCAAGGCTATACGAAAAACGCCCATTTCATCACTCTCTTGAGGAAAATCCCATCCCCGAGGATTACGATGCTACCGGGCAGACAAATCAGATCCGCAGCGATCCATCGCATTTTTACCGTATGAAAGGCATAGAGATAGTCACTTCAATTCGTCCGAGACTGTCACAAAGGTGGGTGTAAAAACCATTTGGTTTCTAAAGACTGTCAGCGTCTCGCTACAAAATTTTCAAAACCCACGGCTGCATCTGATTGGCCAGACTTCGTAATAGCTTGCGTCATTTCCATCTTCCTCTGTTTTCCTTCTCACCCCCAAACTATGACGGAACCAGACACATTTGGTGATCTACCGACGCTTCGTACCTTCTGCCCCGTAGGAACAACAGGAATCTACGCCTATTACAAAGGGCGCACATGCCCCTGGCGCTCCTCAAACTGGTATGATGAGACCTTGGCCTTGAGCGTGGCTACCTACAGCATCGTCAGCGGGGACTCCGCCCTTCTCTTCGACGCAGGTCTGACGCCTGCTCACGGGGCGTACATGCTCGCCCATGTACGAAGTTTGGGCGCAAGAAGTGTGACGACGGTATATAGCCATTTCCATGCCGACCACATCGCTGGGGCTTCTGCTTTGCGGGATACGAAGATTGTTGCACACAAAAGCACGCAAGAGAGAATGAGGCAGAATGCTGAGAAGTTGAGAAACCCGGGTGAGGGCGGAGGACCCAGCATCGACGTTATGTTTCCCACGGAGACATATGAGAAGAGCTTGTCGCTCCTAGTCGGCGATATCTTAGTCGAACTGCATAATTTCCACATTCACACCGCAGATTCCACATTTCTCTTCCTCCCGGATGTAGGCTTGATTTTTGCTGGGGATATGCTCGAGGACACTGTGACGTATCTTTCCGAGCCAGAGGATCTCAGAACTCAACTAGAGGATTTGGAGCGTATGGCGCAATTGCCTATTAAGAAAATCTTTCCTGCGCATAGTAGCCCGGACCGGATCAAAGCCGGAGGGTTTGATAAGTCGTTGATTGACGCCACGATCAGGTATTTGAAGGCATTAGATGAACCTGTTAAGAAGCCTGTTGCTTGGGAGAGAAATCTCAAAGATGTGGTGAAAGACGATTTAGTGGCAGGGAGACTGATCTTTCTTGAGGCGTACGAGGGCGTACACCAGGAAAACATTGAGTCCATGAAGGAAATACGAGATGAAAGCACCGCCGATATGATGAAGAAAAGTGGAGAAGGCAACATTGATATATGGACCTAGTTTGTATGCCCTCTAGGATGTCTACTGTTTTATATAGGTACGTTTCTCACCTCGTGTTGGCATTGTGTGCCACCCCCTGTATCTATAATCTGTCGCAATGCTCCAGATAAGAGGATATTTTCTACTTCTTCTTTGTGACTTATATTAGCTCGAAAGTCTGTTCAATCACAGGATCGCTCGCCAATCTCTCCCCCTTCATCCATTTGTCATTGTAGAAGAAACATGGCGCTAGAACCGAATATATCCCTTTCCGTTCCTTCCGCAGGACAAACGGCACACGTCCACCGTAAAAAATGACATCATCATCGCCTGCTTTGACATTCTTGGAGGTAAGTACGAAGTCGCCATGAGTGTTGCAGTAGAGCTTTCGATTCTCAGTCGGTGGACGTCCCATGGTAAATGTGATGGACCTTGAGCGAAGTTCACACTCGTCCATATGGGGTACTAGAGCTTTAAACTTCCCTCGTAATCTATCTTTATGCTAAAATGTTGGAAAGCTAGTATGGCTTTTGGCGCGAGCCTGGCTTTCCATGTACAGTTTTTGCAGATCGGTACTCTCGCGCTTTGATACCATGAAAGGCTTTCGACCAGGCTTGATAACCATATAATAACTTAGGTCGGCAGAGGTTCTGTCTTGGAGAGGCTGAGGCGCAAGGACATTCTTTATTCGTGCGATGCGTACGCCTTGGAGCGATAGAGAGAAGGGCAAATCAGTAGGCCGCACGATCGCTGGTCTTCCGCCAGATGCATTGTAGACTCCATACTTCGCGGAGAAGCTGTCTCGAAAACGTTCGTTTGATGTAAAGATGTTTATTACCCACAAGGGGGCTTCCTGCAGCAGGGGATCATCGCGGGTCATATCTACAGCTATAAGGTAATCAAGTGGGCTAACTATTTCCGATGGCGGACTCATATTCAATGCCGATGTTGCATTGAAGGTTACTGTGTCTCGAGAGATAGGATAGGTCCCATTGGTCGCATCCTTGTAAGATAAATCGTGAATAGCAGTCAACGATCTCTCTCTCAATTTCTTCGATCTAGTACTGTGAGCTATGGGGGCACGGTCCGCCGGATCATGCTGCAAGTATGATCTCAAATTCTGATTTTGAACACTCCTCTGAAAAGAATGAGAACTACTGGTGTCACTGCCTCTACTATTCTTGTCATGGGGTGATAAGGAAACGTGAGACCTCGAAAGCTGCCATCGTCTATAGTTCTCCATGACTAGTGTCAATGATCGCCCTGAGAGTATTAACCAGGAATGGTTGAAGAAATCTATATTTTGAAATTGCGTCTTGAGAACAGTAGTCCCGAGTAAGAGCGCAAAAGCCACCAGTTCATTCCACTGTACCTGCGACTGGCCGCTGAAAACAGTGACTCGCCGTGCGCTATTCCGATCTATTTGAGCCATTACGACTTCCTGAATGACCCAAATTCTACGAAACGAAGGACGGGAGAAATAGCGGTCTGCACAATCCACAATCAATTTCAGCATGACGAATGGTGCAGGCCTGTCCTTGAATATTGCGTGGAGATACTCAGTGGCGTCACCACCAAGAGATTCGAGCGCAAAATATTCCGTAGTGAGGTACAGCAGCTTTTCATTTTTCAATGCTTTTTCATACCAGCGCGTTGCTTCGAAATCCCACAAGCTAAAAAGCGGTCGCTCATCCGCGGTATTGTCGTCCGAAGCCGGATATCTTTCCACCGAGGATAATTCAGGGACACTGGACGCAAACACTTTCTGGGCCTCGACCATGATATTGCTGTACACGTCCGCCTCTCCTAACCAGACCAGTACCTCTGATGCTGAACCGTAAACCAAGCCCATGGAGCTGACCTGGTGAGTTTTTTCGACAGCATTGTCTTGAGCTATACAAATAGCATCAATCCAAAGAACTCTATGTTCGTCAGGTTGTCGTAGTGTGCGAAGGAGTGCATGAAGGTTTCGTGTTATCTGATATAGTTGCGCCGTCCACGCTTCTTGTGGACTCTTTGCCGTTGCTTCTTTTGTTTTGGCGCATCGAAGGGTGAACCCAAGGGTATCATTAATTTTGCCCTAGCAGTACGAGACCGCTTGGTATGATGTAGCTGGAGCATGGGTTTGCGATCCTCGCAACTTGAGATAACCAAGAAAGCCCGAGAGAGGCGCGTCGCCTTCGCCCGGATCAACAGCAACATAGCGAATCTCGTTGACCTTTAGATCAAGGGGCAAATAGGCGGATGTATCGTTTCTAACCCCTCGAAATGGAAGTGTAACATCGCTTGTTGTTGCACCGAGGCCTCGCTTCTTGGGTGGAGGTCCAGCTGCACGACCTTCCGAAGAGGGCCTGCTGCGCTTTATAGTTTTCAGACTTTGAATTGAAAATTCGCTGGTTCATATAGATTTCGAAAAGATTCGTGACTGCTATGTACTTGGACGATGCCCCTTTTCACAAAATTAATATAGAATGAACGTATTGGCTTGTCTCAGCCTCTTGTCTTGACACTAGCTGATTGGCGGCTCAGCCCGTCTCGCATCCTTCTGTGGATCACGTACATGTCAGCGATGCGAACCAATGCACACGCACTTCGCTCAAGCCAATCAAAACGTTCATATCGAAGCGTTACATAGCTGCTTTAACACTGTTAAAACACTCAATAGTAAAGACGTAGGTAGTTGTGTTCTACGCAAGATAACTAGGTATAGTAATGTTGTTTGGTAATGCCAGCACAGCAATGGATCATTCATAGTAGCGCCCCGCCGTCCCCACGCGCAAATCACCAGTCCAATGCGCTCCGCCAACAACAGCTATGTTACTATCCACAGCTATGGCCAGGAGGAAACAGAGAGCACACCGTGGTACTGGCGCCTGATCGCCCTGGCAGCTTCATGGATGATACTAGGAGGGTGCGTACCGTCGGCAGTCCGCTTCAGTCAGCCCAAACTAAAACATGCTCGCAGCTATCTCCTCCTGCCCGGACTATACGCCAAAGACGCCCAGTTACGTTTCACAGAGGCTGTTCTCTCTGTATTCGTTGTCGCACTGCTGACCGCCGGCTACTCGTTCACTGCGCTGCTGTGCTTCGCCTGTCGCAACAAGCGCTTCCAGGCTGAAGGGGTTTCCCTGTGCGCAACCACAAAGGCTCTATACAACAACAAGCAAAATGCTGACGATTGCACAGACCCGCCCTCGCATCCTCTGCCCTCGGCCTCATTTCCATAGCTTACAACTTCCTGTCTTCGCGCGCATACCAGTGGGGCACTTCTGCCACAACCGGTACCGTCTTGAGCGCCACCACAACCCTCACCTACACCGTCTTATGCATTCACACCTTCCGCCGCCTCAACAAGCCCGTGCTGCAACAGCCCGACCCCGCGCCAACCTATGGTCAGAACAATCCTACTACAGCAATTTTGTCACAAACATGTACCCAAGCGTCTTTCAGACGCCTTCGCAACCCCCGCCTGTGGTATACACTGAAGACGACCGCGTCAACCAGCAAATGGCCCTTCTCCTACATAAATTAGACTCACGACCCAGTCCAGATGCAAACAGCACCTTTAGAATCGATCTTCCCGAAGACCCGGATCAGACCGAAAGAGAAGCACATAGCCAAGAGCGCTGCGCAAGTTAGCAGCTACTCCTTCGAAGGTCGAGGTAGGCTATACCAAGACGCTGCTGCAGGCCGGTACGCCTTGGCAGGTAGAGATGAGCAAGCCTGCGAGGCTGCCCTCGCTTATTCTAAAGTTCTACACGAGGCCTTAATATGTCTGCTAGAGGCGTTTAATCACGATCTTAAGACACTACGTGTGAGGTGTTTCGCAGATAGGCACAATATATATCAGATGAGTAGATTAAGACGAATCCTTGGGGGGATACCCAAGGATTCTGGTAGGGCTATATACTCTATCTCTATGGCTGTCGCGCCTCCGGCCCGAGTAGTCTCCGACGGGTCCCCGAGGGCTGGCCTCTCCTTTCTAGAGTATCGTGACAGGTAAGCTCTAACTAGAAGTAGAACTTTATTATCTTTAATACTATTACTATATTTCTTTAGTAGAGTATTACTAGATCTACTATTATTACATTGTGCCTAATAGAGGTCTATAGTCTTAGATATTATTCTAGAAGTTATCTACTATACAGCATCCTCGCTACTACGGCCTATATTCTTCTACTAATATTAGTCTTTCTATCGCATTATATAATATTTATATATTAGATAGAGTAATAGAGAATAGTAATAGGGGTAATAAGTAAAGTTGCCTATAGTACCTAGATTAAGTAGATTAGTAGACTTACTATACTTACGCAGTTCTTTAGTAAATCTATTACTATTTTCAATGCTGCCTAGATTATCTTAAGTTCTTTATTTAAGCTAATTAGTTTCTATAAGAGCTACTAGTACACTAGAACCGTCTTAGGGCTAGGTAATAGGGCTTAGGTTCTCCTCTTTGTTGGTGGTAACAAGTTAAGAGAAGTAGCGGAAGCATCCTAGATCGGTGGACTTACTATAAGCTCGTTCACAATGATTTTTACATACTTTTTTTGAAGTTCTGTATCTAGAGCGAAACTTAGACATACTCGAAACCACTGATGCATCTATAGTTGGTAAGTAAGTCCTATCCTTGATCACTTTATAGTCATATCTCATATGGAAAAATCTTCATTTAAACATAGTAGAGATGTACTTACAAATAGAGATGTAGCGCTGACCTGGGCGATCCCTGGGTCTAGTCAGGATACGAATGGAATGTGAATCGGGGTCAGGTTTGCTAATGCTACTGGGGTCTTGTGTTGTTACAATATAGAAAGACGTGGTTCTGTTTTAACTGGCTCTCCCGCAACTTGATAAACTGGAAATCACCATTCTATATTATAGTAAATTACTGCTTCTTAGAAGAGATATAGAAGGTTATCATTGAGTATGGCAAATACCACTGCTTCATAACCTGACTGCTAAGAGTGGCAGTTGTCATGGTTATTTACTCTATACTATCTTGACAGCATAGGCGGCCTTATTTGATTTTCCGGTTTCACCGGCTACGGAAGATGTAGTCATTCTTCTAATCTCTATGCGATAAGGTGACACAATGCCATCATTGCAACATGTAGCGAGCCAATCAATCACGTCAGACAAGCACGCGCTCCTTGCAGATATCAGCATCACACACTCTTCTACACTTCAGAAACCGTTTCGACTCGAACCTCCGTCTTGTGATACCATCTTAAACTCGGTTGCATTCATCGAAACGTGGGGTTTACCTTCTACCTCCCACAATTGTGTAAGCGCCAGGTAGAGTGGCTGCCCATGAAACACAACACCGTCTCACGTGCCTGCGAGGTTGCGGCGCAGCGCCTGGGCGTGTACTCGATGCCACAGTGAAGAGATCGACTTCACATAAAAGGCATCTTGAAGTTCAACCATCTTTCATTAGACCTCGCACACGTTTTATTCTACCTTTCTTTTAACACCCAGATTGCACGCGGGCCATGAACGAGCATCATCTGGGGACCGCTCTCAGCAGACATTCTGACTTGTTGGCGCAACTTGGAGATCGAGAGCCAGCAAGTTTGATCGAGGCTCAGGCAGTCATCGAGAATATCAGGGCTGAGAAGGGTTATCTGGACAGCGAGACCCTACAAGATCTTCACAAAATCAACGAGCAGAGTCGGAAGAAGATTCTGCATTTAGTGAAACTAAAAAGAAAGACGGAGGCGGCATACACAACGAGGTATGACTTTCCACATCACCTCGGCATCAATTATTGAAGTCATCTAGTATTTCCGAACAACTTTACTCATCGAAGTTCCGTTTTTTGTATGAACTAATCCAGAATGCGGATGATTCTTCTTACCGTGTCTCCACATCGGCATGGCTACGCTTCGAAGTTACGCCAGAAAAGTTCGTGATTGAGACGAACGAACTCGGGTTCAAACGAGATAACATCGAGGCTATCTGTGCGACTGGGCGAAGCTCGAAGAAGTCGTCGGCGGATGATGATCATATTGGCGAAAAGGGCTTTGGTTTCAAATCAGTCTTTTCTATCGCTGAAAAAGTCCACATACAATCTGGCTGGTGGTCATTTTGCTTCAGACACCGGAAAGGCGAGGATGGGCTCGGAATGATAACGCCATTGGATGCGGAGCCCAATGTATTGCCCGAAGGAGTAACAACCAGAATCTCAATGCAGTACTCGGAAGAAGCGAGACAAGACTATCAGCGTCTTGTCGAAGCTGTCCGGGAACTACCAGATACGACTATCCTATTCCTGCAGAGGCTTTGCGAGATTCACATCAACATTCTTGATGATACTGAACAGTACGAAAGGACCAGTATTAGCAAGCAATACGATTTGGGAAACCGCACATGCACCATTGAGCGTCGCCAAGTCTCTCAGACTGCCGATAGAGTAGACATCTGCAGATATCATCTATTTCGCAGCACTGTGCATAACATGCCTGTGCACGAGCGTCGACAAGACCGCACCGAAGCGAAAATTGAGCTCGCCTTTCCGTTCGATTCCATCACCCGGCAACCTAAGCTCTCGAAACAAGGTCAGCATATCTTTGCATTCTTGCCGTTACTGCGGCTAGCCCAGCTTCAGGTTCGTCATCCAAATAGTGCACAAGCTCCAGCTAATGATGAGACCTAGTTTTTGATACACTCCGATTTTATAACTTCTGCAAGCCGGGAAAGTGTTATCGATTGTCCATGGAATCTCAAACTGTGCGAAGCAATAGCAGATACGTTTGTGTCTGCTGTGAGCGGCACATTTGCCAGACCAGATCATCACTGCAATCACTCATGGCTGGACTGGCTACCGAATTCAGGGATGGATCGTCCTTGGAGTTCACTGTATACTTATATCGTGAAGACGTTATCTACAAAGCCGGTTGCTCAGACTTGGGAGAGCGCACGGTGGGAGGTACCAAAACAGTTGAGGATTGTATTGCCAAACGCTATGCATCACGGATTGCCCATCCTCCCCGATTTACAAGATGAGATCTACCTGGCTCCAGGATACACGACTAGACAAGTATCACGACTAAGGGAGTTGGGAGCTAACAACCTCTATTGGGATGAATTGATCGACCGCCTTCAAGCTGATTTGTTACGACCAGGGTCAAGACTCAAAACGACCCTGGCTACTGATCCATGGCATGAATCTTTCGCTGGTCTCTTCCTTAAAATCTTTGAGACTGACGAGACGGCAATGAACAGAATAAAGCAAAGAATTCGAAGATTGGGCATCATTCCATTGCTTAATGGAATGCAATGGACTGGCGCACCTGGAGCTAGCATGGGTGGCTCTGAGAAGGTTTATTTCTCGTATACCGATCAAACACCGATTCCAGACCTATTCAATATGCGACTCCTCGACAGGTCTGCGTCTCGAAACACAAGGCGTAGAGCATTTTATAAGGCCTTAGGCGTCAAGGAATGCACCCGAAGCACAGTGTTTGCGAAGATCAAAGAGAGCCATCAGTCCCAGCCACCAACTTGCGATGCAATTGCTGATCTCCAGTATCTGTACCATCAACGCTACGAATCAGATGACCTCAAGAGCTGGATTTGGGCACCTCTGACAACTGGCAGCGCCATCAAAGCTGCCAACAAGATATTCTACTTGCCGACGAATGGTGAGTTTGATCTGTACCAACTTGTGCCGTCATCGAATCGATGCTTTCTTTCGAAGACACTGTATGACATCGAGCCTTCGGATGTACTCGTGAACAACGAAAGCTGGCGCGATTGGCTTGCCCGAAGCTTTTTGGCACAAAGCCACCCGTTGCTTATAGGCGGCCCATCGTTGAATTGGAATGGCCATGAGCTTTCGCCGTCCCTGCAGGATGTTTTGAAGCATATCCCAGCCAAATTTCTAGGAACACTCCGCGCCCATTGGCAAATCTATCAAATTCGGGCTCACTTGGTCGAAAAACCTCTACGCGCGTGTCATGTTCCGTGCATGTCGGGAACTTCTGCACCATTGGCGCTCGCGTATCTCCCAACGATAGACATCATGAACGAGATATCACGACTCGGCATTGAGGTCGATGCCGTACAGCTGTTGAGTGTGACTGAAGGCACACTCGGTGAGGCTACCTACAGGTCATGGAAATTTCTTGAAGACTTCGGTGTCACCTCTAGGCCTAATTTGAAGTTCTATGAGCTAGCTATTGAGTCAAAGGCTAAGCAGACCACGAACGTTGATGTCAATGTGATCGCGGACATATATCTACAGATGGTTCGAATGGCCACGATCGAAGACCATGACCATTTTAGGTTAGGTTACCCTCCGCCTCTTCTTTGAATCGCTAACTAATATGTACATAGAAACCGTTTCGACAACTACTGCATCTGGGATGGCCATCGTAACGAATGGGTCACGCGCAAAAATTGTTTATGGGATGGTCCTGAGTTCATCAGCTCCAAATCTGTTCTTTCGCGCACGTACAATGGTTTTCCGTATCTTGGCAGTTTTTTCTCCACCATATTGGATGTGCCAAGCACGAAAATCGAAGATGTGATACAAGAGATCGAGGCACGGCGTGATGGAGAAGAAACTGTCGCTCTAGATTTTATGCATCAGATTTATACATATCTGCACAAGGTGGCGAGTGGTGACGAAGACTGGCAGAAGATAAAGTAAGTCAACATTTTCGATTCTCTCGAGTGGTATTATGTTACAGCACAAAGGTCGCCAAATGCTCGCCAATCTAGAGCGACCATTTACCTACCAGGCGCATGTTTAACCCAATTAAATCGATCACACAGAGTAAACTAATATGCTAATAATACAATAGAAGTGCATTCACCGAGAGGCAGCTAGTGCTCGGTGATAACGGGATGTGGTATACTTTATCGAACTGCCTCTGGGGCAGTCCTTTTGCCTTGAGTGGGTTGCAAGACCTCTCGAAGATATACTCTGATATGGAGAGTCTTTTTGTCCAAAGACTCAAAGTCAAGAGGGCGACTCTAAGTATGCTGATTGCTGAGGTCAAAATCATGGCCGAGGCAAGACAGCCACATGTCGAGAATATGAAGACGCGCTTGATTGATATCGGCAAAATGCTGGCAAAAACCCCGATGGATAGCAGTGTTTCGAAAGCGCTATCCAACCTCAAAGGGATCAAATTCTTGCCTAAGATGTCGAACGATGGCACATCTGTGCTTGTAGGTGCAGAAGAAGACTTTGCCATATCAGATCATCAACGATATGGCGACGCATTTGCAAACAGCAATGCTTTGCTTGACTTTCGGGTACATGAGGTCCAAAGTCTTCATAGCATCTTCGAACAAATGGGCTTGATGCATCGCTATCTTTCGTCCTTGGTGAAGGAGGTTTCTGATGTTGGAGAGAACTGCATTGAGGACGCAGTTTTGTCTCAGCAACTCCAAGTCAGGGCTTACGCATTATACTGGTATGTTTACAACTCTTTTCTATGGTAACAACTGGACTATTGAATATTGGCAGAAGTCTGCATGGGAAAGAATAAACCTCTGACCATTGAAAAACATCCTACTTATGCATGAGCTGGTCTACCATGCTGTTATTCACACTATAAATGCTGACGAAAAATAGCTGTGCCGCAAAACACAAAAGCAGGAAGGCTTTTCACGGAGATCGTAAACTTTTCGAGCAGCTCACTACGATACGCGTCTATACTACGGACGACATGACCACGAATCTTGTACTTAACCTGAGCTCTAGTACGATCAGAGTGCAAAGTGAGCGAATCGCCATACATAGCGAGATTTCTGAAGGCATTATCAAGATATATGTCCCTTATAAGACACAACAGCGTCGAATCTATTACCGTTCGCAGCTTCCAAATTTGCTCACCAATATACTGAGTACCGGTCCATGGGCCAATTTCGATATCTCGACTATCATCTCGTCGAGTATTGAAGAGCTTGAGGACGTCCTGGTCGAGCAAGACATTCCACCAGTGTCATGGGTCAACAAACCTATGATAGTGGTTCCATATGGTCCGAAAGACGATAGGCCAATCACGCCCCCAGCATCTCACACCGGTAGTGACTCAGCGACAGCAGTTTCGCGCTCTAGACCAATAACACCCGATGCGACACCCACATATCATGGACGAGCAGTGCCGACTCCAGATGAAGAATACATCGCAGAGGCTACTCCACCTCCAGAATACCCTGTACTCATAGAGCAAATCGTCCGAAGTGCACAAAGAACTAGTCGCGTGCGCCACAATGCCGAAGACATTGCTGATCAAACGACATTCGCCGATCGAGCTCGGGACTATAATCACTACGCGACTTTTGGTTCCCGGGAGAGAGATCCTTTCGTGCATGATAAACGTATTGGTGCTGCAGGCGAAGGCTATGTAAGTTCATCATTCCTACCAAGCTTGACTTACTGACGTGCAGTTCAGGTCTTCGAATTGCTGAACAGCCTCAATCTACCGAAATTTTCAGAAGCAAATTGGCGCAGCACCATCCGCAGCGAACTTTCACGCTCAACGCACTTCGCAAATATAGCGAATTGGACAGGCCGCGAAACAGCAGATATCGTATATAAGGACGAATCTGGGCAGCTTACCCAGTACCTTCGTGAACATTGTGAGGGCGACTTCCCAAATCAGATTCGCGAAGACAGGAACTTTCAGACGCATCCGATCGAGTATTTTCTCGAGGTGAAGACCACAACTGGAGATTGTAAGACGAGGTTCTACATGAGCTCTGGGCAGTATAAGCGGGTATGTGATGTTTCGAACAAGAACCAAACTGCTTTGGACGAGCAACTACTAACACTTGCCTCTAGATGGAGAACATGGCGCTTGGAATTTTTGAGTGGAATCCTAGCCAAGTATATGTCATCATGAGAGTATACGATTTGATATCACCAGACGTAGGCCTGAAGATATATATTGATCCTCTGCGGTTCAGAAACACCAAGTTGAAATTTGAGGCGGAGCAATGGTTTGTCAGTACTCTGTAGTGCAGCACAGATCATTTCAATGTAGTCTCAAATATACACACTTGATAGGACTCGCTATGACTGCGATCCAGGCGAGTCTGCCATTCAGTCAGATGCAGATCAGGGTGGTGACTTTGGCCAAAGCAGTGAAAGCTAGAATGCAATCTGCATGGAGTACCAATACAAAAATGGAAAGGAGCAATGCATACAGAAGAAGTACAAAGATGTAGAGCTCGAAAAATATTTATGTGCTACTTTCCGGCAGTAGTTTTAATCTAAAAGTGACATACAGGGTTAACGCTCTGGCGTGCCGATGACTTGAGACAGCCATGGCGCTCATGACTATCACCCCGCTACAGCACAGCCAAGCCAAATGAGATCACTGTTGGCACGATAAAGGTGCACGAGGTGAATCAACTTGCAGCTGCAAATACTGTAGTGAGGAAGCGAATTGATTGTCTGTATCTGCTATCGTGTTGAGTATCTACAGTGTCTCCGCGCACGGGCCAATAGACGGTGACGAGGTCTTTGCCAGTGCCCGTGTCGACGAATCGGTGTCGTGGATCAGTAGGACTCGTTTGAGTCCTAATTGATTCCAAAAATCACCGACAATGATTTTCCTCTTACCAGATTTCCTAGCTCTTGTCGCCGATCGTTGTGACTCATCTACCTCATGATTTCTACGTTGCTCAGCACTTGTATCAAGTCTTGATATCCCAACATCATGACTAACCGCAATGATTTGTAATGTCTCTAAAGGGTTCTTGTGCCGCTGTAACATAACTATTTAGTCGTTACTGCACATGAGGATACGAAGATCTACCATTCCATAGCCTTCAGGGCCTCCCCACAGGAGTATTTCAGCCCTAACGGCAGGTTCAGCCAATGGTATTTGCAACTTCTTTTGCTTGAGGCATCCAACGTCAAATCCCATTAGAAACAAGAAGCAGCTCATAGTCCCATTGCATCTATCTTTTATGTCAGGGCCGCCATCACACACGATTTTTGCAGATGTACTTCTTTTTCATCTCGCTTCTTGTATAAAGGTATATAGATTGGGAGATTGTGATTAATGGTTTATGTAGTCTTGAAAACATGCAACGTATTGATAAACTATCCATTACCTCTGGAATGGAAGTTGGGTAGTTATGTATTACATTGATAGCATCACTTAGACTTTTATAGATCGAAAACGTGGCGGCGAAAGATATATTCGTACCTATAATCATCTAAAGCCATTTTAAGCAAATCAAACCGGCATAAAGTCTTCATCGGAAAATCCAAATTTTGGCAAGCTTGACTTATAGATCATAGGGAAGTCGCACGTCTTGCAAACATTCCGGATGTCTCGTTGGACATTTCTATGATTCTTTCGATAACCGTACCCATGAGCACCTTTCTTACACTTGTGTCTGAGCAGGACTTTACGAAACTATGCCAAATTTTCGTGAACTCTTTCCATACCAGGCATTGTCAACATAGGCTTGATGAAAATGTATAAATCCCACTGAGGATCTGACACGATCTAGAGTAGGATCTTGCTGTCAGGGTCGCTCCTTGCCCAATGGAAAGATTATCTATGATCTGACCATTTGCTGTCCCGAAGAACAACTACCATCTGCATTAGACACCGGATTAACCATGTATCATTGACTTCCTCAGAGGCTGTGTTCGTGATGTAGGCGCATATTCAAGTGGGCATCGTCTCTGTGTTTATAAAAACACAGGCTTAAGTTAGGTCTAAGGTATAATAAGGCTCTACAGTAAGCGAATGAATGATCTTAGTATATCGAAAATATGTTACGTAAACTTTATAGAGCTTCGCTCGCTAATTCTTATAAACGTCCTTAATAAAAGAATTTAATCTCCTAGTATAGTTCGTAGTCTCGCGGCTGTTATAGAAGCTAAGGACAACGCGATCTGATAGCTTGTCAAAGTCAGATACAGTAGCACAAAGTACGCTAGTTTGGCTGTTGGCATAACGTCGGAAGTAGTTCTCGTGGCTCGAAGCCCAGGCTTCGCGCAGCTTGAGCCCTAGTTCTTCAGCCGAGGCTATTAGCTCATTTTTCTCTAATATATCCTCCAGTCGCATACTTGTCCACAATCAATCCGAGCCAATCTGAGCCTCCAGATTGGATTGGATTGGATTGGATTGGTGGGCTCGGATTGATAGGCTTGCAATCTAATCAATCTGATTAGTAATCAAAATGCTGATGTGAGGTTGTAGAGATAGGTGATATTGGCTATATCGTAACTATTCTTGGTGTTGAGTTTCGCCATCGCTGTCGATATTGTCAGCCCATGTACTGAGGCCATACAGCGCGTCTAACTCGCTGTCAGTCCTAATATCTTGACGCCGACGCTGTCGCTGCCTAGCCCAGCCTTAAGCCACCGCCTTACGCACTGTATCGCTGCCAAAAGCTGAGGTTGTATCCCACGTCGGCGAGGCTGCAGTAGGTCACCAAGCTCGCTGAAAACGCGCTCACACTCGGCGCTCGACGCTGGGATAGAGATGATATCCAGCGCGAGCCTGCTGAGATGTGGGTAGCGATCGCGTATAGACAGCCAGTATTTGATTGGATTATGATGATATTCAGAGTCCCTCACAGCGCGCGGCCCGTGCTACTTCCATCGCTCAAACTTGTCGTTACTTATATCGTCGTCGCGAGTAGTCGAGGGATCAATAATGCTATCAATAACGTCGTCGATATCGTTCGAGTAGACCTTTGGCCTCCGTGCCGTAGACGAGGTAGTATTATATAAAGCCCACAAGGCGCGAAAGCTGTCCTTGTTAGTATCGAGCCACTTAGCTTTACCCTGCTCCCACAACTTATCGCGGTACATTTTGTAGTAGGGATGGAGTACTATAGCAGCGTAGTAAGTGGGCGTCAAGTCTAGCTTTGCAAAATACTCGTCGGCTTTCTTCCAAGCTGCCCGCATATCAATTGCAAGGTGATCCTTAGGCGTCTTATGGTGGGCGTTATATCTAACACTGCTATATTTCTAGACGCGCTGCTCGTAGTAGCCGAGGATATACTCGAAGACTAGAATAGTCTCACTAATACTCCTAAACCTACTAGATTTGCTGCGCCCCTCGAGGCGCTTGGTGGCGGACTTTAGAGGCTTTAGCACATCTAAATACTTAGTAATTACTGCCTAATCGTGTGCTGACAGGCCGTCTGATCTCATCCACTGCGGCGCGTCAGATAGCTTCTTATTGCGAGATCTCTTCCACGCGTCCTCCACGCGTTGGGCTTCTATATGGTGGTTGGCGTACGCGCTGATAGATGACTGTAGCGTTACAGCACGCTCAAAGCAGGCGTAGTAGGAGTTCTAGCGAGTGACGACGGGTTTGACAGGCTCGAGAAGCTGAGGGTTCTTATCCTTGAGTAGATCCTTGTAAGCAAGGTGCTGGAAGGCATTAAAAAGCGTATACTATTGCGGTGTTCTAATATGGCTAATAACGTCTAGAAGTACACCTAGAGGCCCGTCGCGTCTCCACGCGCTCATATATCTATCCTTGGCGGTAGCCTCGCTCGCACTGTTATCGTAGGAATCGCTGTCCTTGCCCCAGAGTAGTATTTGTCCGATAAGATTGAGTGTATGAGGGCCGCAGCGGAGGCGACGGTGGATAGCGTTAAAGCCCATCTTCTACGCGATCGCGTCTACTGTAGTATTGTTATTAGCTGCGTTGTCAAGAACAAAGTAGCTAATACGATTAGAGTCAATCTTGAACTGCCTTAGCGTCTCTAAGACCACCTCTACGATCCGCTCGCTGGTATGAGCGCCTGTCAACTGCGGTAGCGCGATAGGTAGATCTATCAGGTTTCCATCGCTGTCAACGTAGTGTGCGACGATACCTAAGAAACCGCGCTTGCCAACCCTTTGTCGTCTAGCTGTCAAAGCTGATATGTATCTTGCTCTGTGCCCGCAATAGCTCCTAGATAACCCGTGGTTGTAGGTAGTTGTATAGACGCATAACGTAACGTGAGACGCTATTGTGAGACGTCTATAGCGCTGACTCTGCTTGAGGGTTCGCTGCTGCGATAAGAGCTCGAAAAGCTGGTGACTTAAAGGTAGAGAGAGGCTGATTATTCTCAACGAGCTAGGTGACTGCTGCGAGTCTAAAGCGCCGAATATTGAAGCTGGAGAGCTCGTTCGCGATCGCCTGGCTAACCCGATTTCTAGCAAGTATAGTCTGGAGGGGATTAGCTATAGTAGTATGGGTTTCTTTGTGAGGCCCTTTGTAGCCGTGGCCAGGCAGCTTCTCTGCTAGATGTTGCTGAGTTGCTGAGGTTGAATTCGTTGTCTTATATACACAAGTAACGCCTGCCTTGATACGCTTATGCTTATAGCAATAGCGGCATATAAAGAAGAAGCGCGTAGGATTACGGCGCAGCGTAACGCGGAAGCCGTAATTATATATCTAGCTTTTCTTCTGGCGAGAGGATGCTATAGGCTTTATATACTGAGGAAAGTCATCCTAGTTCAGGCCTTCAAATACATCCTCTAGGTACTCGTCAAAGCCTGTATTACTAGGCGTCTCAGTCGCGAGTGTGGCCTCCTCGCTGCCCTTGGTGGGCGGGACGATAGCTTCTTTGGTCTGCGTCTCGCGCAGTTGCGCATCAAAAGTCAATACCTATAAAGCTTCAAGTAGAGCTTAACAAGGCAATGAACAAGCTAGTAATAAAGAGCTTCTAATAGGTATAAGCGTGTCTCAAAACTAGGCTGGCGAGTCGGGTCTCCACCTCGGGATCGTTTTCTCTAATTATCTCTACCAGTTCTTACCCAATTAGGAAGTTTAGTAGCTCATTTTGTAGCCCTTAATTTAAGCTTCATCTCTGTTTAATATAGTAATAGACTAACTCTAATAGGTAAAAGGTTATTAGCCTACCTACTTTGCTAAGAGCTGGGTCTCTACATTTTACTCCGATCTTGAATATCTCCTTACCCAGTATAACTAGCCTATTACCGTAATATGGCAAAATAAAGCCCTGATAGAGAGCTTTAAAATAAGCTACTAAACTTCCCGATCGGGTAAGTATTGGTGGAGATAATAGCGTTTTTGAGATCCCGATGTGGAGACCCAATGACTGTAACGATGTTACAGCCTTGCCAAGTATCGGACCCATCCCGGAGCTGGGTCGGANCAAATATCCGCCGCCCCCTTCAGCAGTCATTGATCTTGAGTCGGATCCGACTAAGGACGGGTATTTATTGAGACACCTCCTGTAGCTAGCTCTGTAGACTTTTGATATCCTTTCGTA